TCCCCTTCTTGCTTTCCTCCTCTCTTTTCACTTTTTTTCCTCTTCTCTTCTCTTCTCTTCTCTTCTCTTCTCCACCTTTCTTTTCACCATTTTTCTCCTATTTTGCCTTTAAATCTCCTCTTCTTGCTTCCCTCCTCTCTCTTTTCCTTTCTTTTTTTCCCTCTTCTCTTCACTTTGAGAAGAAATCTGGCAGAGATTTGATTGGTCAGTGACATGGGCTCTGATTGAGCAGTCCGGATGATTTGTCATTGGGCAGGCGCTGTCAGGTGCAGATCAATCAGAAGCGTGATTGGTGAGGATTACCTCTCTTGGCTGTGAGCAGAGAAGGCTCAGTCATGGCTGCCTGCTCTCTCACACACTAGGCCTAAGCTACCTCACTTTACCGGCTTTCTGTCCCCCAGGGTATCAGACCTGATAAAAAACGTTGGACTGCCAGTGATGGAGTTTTTACTTTACAGTGATGAGGACGCTCCTCTCAGAGGAAACCCACACTATAGCTCACCATTAAGACCCCATATCATAAAAAACTCTTGGATATGCTATGTAAACATTGTTCAAGTTTCAAAATGTACCATTCTGCCTCTCCATACTGTCCACATATGGAAACTAGGGTGCAAAAAAACAGACCGTTTTGATTTAATTATGGTTCTGATGTCATCTACATATAACTGTCCGTTCAGCCCACAGCAGTTTAACCTGTCCATTCACATTGAACTGCTGTGGAGTGTCCTTCCTGCACACAGTCTATAGCAGAGTTGTCGGAGTGAAAGATGAGTGGAAAATGATAAAACGTCATGCTGTTCCTGGCTGCTGGGAAGCAGGGTGGATCACTATAGCCTTCCAAAGAATGCGCATATCCAAAAAAAATTGGCTGAAATGTGTATGCCTGTGAGAACAGTTTAAAATCAACAAACTGTTCTGTGCATTTCAGCCCACACTGAATACAGGAAGTCATATATATGTGGACCATTCAGCTGAGTATGAACTGTAGTCCCGAAGTCCCGAAAAAAATTTCAAAAAAACAATTAAGTGTTCAGACTTCAGATATTGATTCTTCAGTGATTCTTATCTATTTATCTATAATAATAGTAATAAGCTAAATATATACAAAATCATCATTTGTAGGATATTTTCTATTAGGAGGGGGCTGTCCTAAATCCTAACCCCTAAATTTCAACTTGTGAAAGTTGTGTTTATAATTTTTTCTCAATTTTTAAAAACTTTTTTGTGTTTCTTGTAAAGTTAAGATTTAGACTTATTGTCTAAAGTTTAATGAAAAAAATAGTTAAAAAATAAATAAATAAATGTCCCAGGTTTTCATGTCAAAAATTTTAGTCTAGAGGCGGAGCCTTATTTAAGCCACACCCCTGCACTTTAAAGCAAGAAGTGAGACTTCATCACTGTCCTTTATGGCCACATGGTGAGCAGTTAGATCCCATTGTTTTGAAGTAAAGGTGTTCTAAAGACTGAAAATCAGTGTGTAACATTAGGAATTGTCACTACCGAAACACAGAGTTTCTGCAATTAAATAAACCTTTTTGTGTTTTAATATAAAATATTATGATTTTATGTGTGTACAGCTGTTCAAAGCTGCGTTTGCTAGTCATGTGCTGGCTAGTGTTTTTGAGTCCTGCTAAAATGTAGCTAAAATTGTCACTACTGAAACATTTCTTAAGGTTTCGGTAGTGTTATGATTGTTGTGGTGACAAAATGGAATGTTCAGGCATTTATTTTAATAAAATGAACATATTTAAGGTATAGGATCACTCAGAGCAAGATGATTTAGTCTAAAGTCCAAGTTAGGTAAACGTCTGAAATATATTTTTAACTCTAACGCTGAACCAATTTGGTAGAATCTTCCATATAAAAGTAATATATCATTGCTGTCCAAAGGAAAACAAGTATCTCCAAAATTCATCTTTACAGGCGAGGGCAAAAGTGTTCTTTGCTTTTATTGTAAGTTAATGTAAATGCTTTTTGGAGCTTTCGGAGCTTTTCTGTTGTCCATTCTATATGATTTTTTACACAACGTAAAGGGCAGCAGATGAAAAATGAAAATAGGTTTGTTTTTGGACAGTAATGATATTGTCGTTATTGGAACAAAACCTTGTATACCTATATATATATATATATATATATATATACGTACATTTATCATACATGTATGTGTGTGTGAAAACAGCTGAATGCTGTTGAGCGTTTAGCGTATGTTGGTATGTTGCAGGGCCTGAGGCAGTTTGCTTCCAGATCCGCTGCTCCTGTACACCACAGTGTATGATTTAGATGGATAGGCTCTCATACACACATAGTGCTGACATAAGCACATAGGCACACACACAGTCAGAGAGCCTGTACTTTCACACACACACACACACACACACACACACACATACATATATACATTGTTTTAATACAGTGTCAGGATATATTTGTATATAAAGCATATTTGAGTCCTAACAACTGCATTTATTCAGCACTTAAAGCTTTCATCTTTGAGAGAGAGGAGAAAATCAAGCTGCTTCAGATCTGAAAACATCCACAGGTGTTTCTGTCCATCCTTCCACTGTGAGAAGACGACTCAACACTATGGGTCTGAAAGGATGTGTAGCTGTTCAAGAAGAACCTCACTGAGAAAAGGAGACGGACACATCAAACAAAGAAGCTGAACAATGGACTGACCACCCCAGAGTCCAGACCTCAACATCACTGAATGTGATCATTACTTGGATTGTGATGAAGCAGAAAATGTAACCAACGTCTAAGACTGAATTTTGGAGCAATATATGTAGATAAGAATGCTAATTATTCTCTCAAATATCACACAAACACACTTTGACATGCAGTACAAGAGCTTACATCATGTTCACATCCAGGCACATGAGCGTGTGTGCAGTTCGTGCTTGTTTGCATCTCATTGACACATAAATGATGAAATCATGTAGATGTGTTTATGCGGACTCATGATACACATCCGCAACCACGCTCTGGGGACCGACTGGCGCGAGACAGACGCCTACTACAGAACTCCGTGAAATCAGATAAATCTCACTGTGTTTTGTACATTTCCCACAGGACGGGAACTGCTGGCGCACAAAGAGACGTTCATGAGCTTTGAGCCGTTTACTCAGAGACAAAATGCTGCACGTTTGTGTTTTGTTTTTTTCAGATATTGTCTGATTTTCTGTCTGTCTGTTCTCTCGTGCTTTTTGTTTTTCTTACACAAAGAGCTGACAGACTTATGACTGCTCACATCCTTCAAAAATACTGTGAAAACTGACATTTAGAGTTTAGTATAGTGATTATTTCTAAAAAGCGGTGGAGGGTTATAATGACAAGTAGTCAGAATGAATCAGCCTTACAGCGGAGGACTGCAGGCGCATCAGAAAGGCGGTTCTGATGTTTATCTCCCATGTATCATATTCTACCTGATGATACATTATTTTAAATACCCGGTGCCTGTACTTTACATATTGTGATAAGCTTTGTGGCTGTTTGTTGTATTTATTTGTAGTCTGTATTTGGTATTCCTCACAACCAGTCAAGCAGTTTAGTCTTGACGACACAACATTCTGAGATTGAAAAGATAGTGTAGTCCTGGGGTCGTATTACGGAGACTTTACATCTTTTTGTCTTAAGATCTGACAGATCAGGATAAGATTTTTTACAAATTCATCTTACAAAAGCAAATTTTATCTTAATTTAGGAATCTTATCTTGCAGCATCTTATCTCAAGTTAGGAAATATTAACTTACTCCATCTAAGTCGACAATCAACTGTCATGTCTGTTACCTAGCAACCGAACACACACACAGCTGAAACGTAAACACGTCATCAAAATAATCGTTAGTTAGCCAGACAGCTAACATTAGCTACTGTTACTAAGGTAAAAATAGAAAAAAGTAGAAGTTTACAATATTGTGCTGGCGGTTTGTGCTGTTTATCAGTGTCACCACTTTCAGTTTCAGTTTCCCAAACACTTTAGCCGAGCATGCTAACGTTATTCCTCCTAATAAACAGACGCACGTTCAGCTCTGTCTCTTCATTATTCACCACCATCACTGTAATATTTTATCAGACCAGTTTTCATCAACATTAACACACAAAGGTAATAAGGGGGGGGGTGGAAACCTCATTAGTCAAAGCACTGTTTTCAATGTAACATCATTATGCTACTTATAGTGAACTGTGCTACCTGTCACTGCATAAAACAGTAGAAACAGACGGTTAAAACAGAAGTTAAGACCCTCTGGGGTTTATCTTAAAGTTAGGACAGAGTTTAGGAGGTTTAGTCTAGTTACGATGTTTCTGTAATACTGTTTTCTTATCTGGAGTAAATGATAAGATGATGAACTTAAGAAGACAGTCCTAAATTCAGTTCTAACTGAAGTTGTCATGGTGAACTGATAAGATTTCACACTGAAGACTTTTCTGTAATACGGCCCCGGGACTAGACCTAATCCCCAACTGGGAAACAGACCCAGAAGTCTGTAAGCACCAGTTCATCCAGGATTTCTTCTGAAATTAAGGGTATTAATGGGGAGTTTGTCTCATTTTGCTGCACTAACAGCCTCTACTCTTCTAGGAAGAATTTACATTAGATGTTGGAACATTGCTGTGAGGGTTTGTTTGCATTCAGCCACAAGAGCATTAAAGAGATCAGACTGTGACGTTGGATGTTCAGTTTTAGACGCTCCAACTCATCTCAAAGTTATTAGGTGGAGGTCATTGGCTCCAGAGAACCCAGTCCCACTGCTCCAGAACCCAGCATTTAGGAGGCTTTAGACCCCTCTAGTTGACGCTTGGTATTGGGCATTATGACCTTAGGCTTATGTGTGGCTGCTCCAGAGCATCCCATTCCAGTGGTCAGTGCTTTTCTATGGAGATTATTTAAGTTGTATCAGCAGTGGGTGAACCTTAAAGTAGTTTAATTCACAGATTAGAATGGGTATCTAGATATAATATGTATTCTATTCTATTCTATTCTATTCTATTCTATTCAGGCCCCCCCTTCCCACCACAGGATGTCCAGGTGCAGAGTGATCCATCTCCAGGTGTCCTGCAGGTGCGCTGGAAGCCCCCCCTTCTCACCCCCAGCGGCACCTCCAATGGAGCCAGCGTCATCGGTTACGTGGTCTGCACCAAAGGTCAAAAGGTCAGTGGATCTGTGGTGTCAGTGCTAAGGAGGCATTAACTTGTACCAAACCAATTTGCACATTCATTAGACTTATTATTCAATTATTAATCTTAAACCATATCTTATCTTAATCCAGTAGCTATAAATATATTTTATTTTGTATTTATAGTATAATTACTATAAATTATTCACTACTATGAACCAAATGTATTATTTCTGTAGTTATGAGACTGAGGAGTTGAAGTGTGGACCCACATACTAACCCTTAGAGTTTAAAGGGTCAAACATCTGATGTCAGTTGTGAAGGTCATCCAGTACATGTAGTGTGTTCATGTGTATTTAAGTTGCTCCCTTTTCTCTTCTATCCAGCTGGCAGGCTCACTCTTGCCATCTGCTGACAGATGTTATTCATAGCAGCTCTGCCCCAATGAGTGGTGTTATATAACGCAGGGCTTTATGTAAGATTTTGTAAGATTTGACAAAACACACATTTACTTATCGATATGGTTAAAACATGGCTGGACAAACTGCTTAGCTATTTTAAACTCATGTAGGGTTTATTATGTAGGCAACTTCTTGAAAAGTCTGATAAAGGTGAAGCAATAAAACAGTAACTACGTATATATATGGAAGCAGCCTTTTTTTCCCAAGTAATTTTGGGCCGTTTCATCATGAAATAATATATATATATATATATATATATATAAAGAAACGGAAACCGAAACGGCCCAAAAATCAAAAATTAGAAACGGCCCAAAATTACTTGGAAAAAAGTCTGGTTCCATTGACTTATTGTGTTCCACCCCATATTGTGTTGATTCCCTTAATAAAAATAAGTTAACACATCCTCTACAGGGAACTTGAATATGACATTTTCTGCAACTTTTAGTTTCATTTCTATTTATTTGCTGAGTTTAACATATTGGAAAAAAAAAGCATAAAAAATAAACAAAATACTAAATAGAAAATGTATGATAACTTTTGCATAGGCCATGTTTTATGTCTTATTTTTTCCCCAATATGTTTATCATTATAAATAGTAATTGCATTAAAATGTGTGCTCTCTGTAGAGGATGTGTCCACTTATTTTCATGTCTAAAATCCACACATGTACAAACATTACAAAACATGTAATTTGATGAAAAGCCCAAACTTCTGCCCACCACTGTGAGTCAGAGAATTTATTACATTGTTGAATTTTCATCATCTGACAAAAATCTTGCAAGTTAATGAAGTTCTAAGACAGGAAGGGTGCACAAAGTTTTGCACATGCCACAGTTAATATTTTATTTTTTGATTTTTTATTGTTGTTACTGTGGTGTGTGCAGATAGCGGAGGCGATGTACCCCACAGCGGAATACGTGACAGTGGAGGTGAACCGTATTCAGTGTCTGGAGGCGCGTGAGGTGGTGGTCCGGACCATCTCAGCACAAGGCGAGTCTCAGGACTCCAATGCTGCTGCCATTCCACACAACCTGCTGGCGGCTCCGCCCCACTCTCGCCCGCCTCCGCACCCCCAGCCACACCCACCGCCTCCCCCTTACCCACAGAGCTACCCTCCGACCCACCCTCAACCGCACCTCCAGCAGCCCGTATCCCACCCCGTCCTGCACCCGCCGCCTCTTCACCCCCAACACCCGCACCCTCCTCCTCCACCCCCTCCACAACACCCCCACATCCACCCTCCATCCTCCCCCCACTCCATCCCCAAACACAAACTCCTACCAAGTGCCAGAGACCCCCATGCCAAAGAGCCTGAGCTGGCCCGGAGGCCCTGGGACCCTCACCCCCGGGCCCCTTCGCCCCTACCCCCTCCTACTCCTGGGGGCCACGGCCTGGAGCCTCCTCCGCACCCGGAGGGCCGGCGCTCACCGTCGCCCCAGAGGATCCTGCCACAGCCTCAGGGAGCCCCCATCCCCAACACAGTGGCCCGCGCTATGGCCCGGCAGGCCGCCCAGAGAAACAGCTCCAACAACAGGGTCAGTCTACAGACTGTTACACACTACATTCAAAAATTTGGAACCACAGGGTTTAATGTTGTAAAACCAATTTGGTTGCAGATTAATTAATAAGATGTTGTGTTTATCTTATGAATATTTAATAGGACTCTAGAAAGCTGTAAATAAAAAATAGTTTTAGATGTGTCCATTATAATAATCAGAGCTGTGGAAGGTTCTAAAATGACTGAGAAACTATATAACATAATGAAAAGTTATTCCATGACCAAATTTAGAGGAAAATAACGATAAATAATAATTAACACTATTAATATCCAGTATATAATTTCCCACGTAGTGCACTATGTAGGGAGCAGGGAGCCGTTTGAGATTCAGTCCCGGTGTGAGAAGAGGGCGCCGCTGGATTGGTGCTAAATAAGACTTACTGTAGTAATTTGGAGACCAGAAAGTACTTATAAAGTGAAAGTTTTGCAGTAAACAGTCCTGTGTTATCATATGTTGATTGTTATACGACAAAAGGCTTAAAAAAATTAATGAAATGACCGCAATATACAGAGATGGACGACCGATCGCTCTCCTCATTCGGCGGCCCATGGTTTCTTGGCAATGATGCCACACTCTAAAGGAACGACATTTCTTGGAGGAATACTTGTTTATGTTGATTATTATTAATAATAACTTAAATTATTTGCTGAAAAATGTGTATTTAATCATATTTTATGTTGGCCGCTGTTTTATAAAAGCAAGAAGCCACTTAAGGCTGTGTGTTACTGCAGTTTCATCACAGGGAGGGAGGTTTTACGCTTTATGTCGTGCCTAAGAACACCTTTTCCGTGATAAAATCGCAGTAACACACAGCCTTTCGTGGCTTATGCTTATGCTTCTGCTTTAATATACACTGTTTGCCCCTTAGCCAATTAGCCAAGACGTGTTTGGTGTCTAAAGTTTTCTTCTGTAGCTGACAGGTAATGGAAGCTTAAGCCCCACCATTTGCAATGTGTAACCTGAATGCTCAGATCATCACATACTTCCCTCAAACCATATGTAGTTATTTAGTAATCTCAAATACACTAGATTAAGTGTGTCTGACACTGTATGACATGGTGTTGTCCATAAACTTGTACAAAAATATGTTGCATAGCTAAAAACAGCTACTTTAAAGGCTGAATTTTGTCTGTACTTTTGTCTGTTTTTGGTGGAGTTTAACCCCCCGTTACTTGTTAGCTACATTGTCCTCACAGCTGAAGTTTGAAGAAACAAACTTCAGGCACCAAACACATCCTGGCTGATCCACTGCATGTGGGATACTGGGAAAGCTGTCTCAATTAGAGTTTTCAGCAAACTATCACTTTAAGTGGTGGTGTGTTTTTTAACTGCAGTACATTATCTATAGAGCTCAGTGTGCTGTTGTGTGATAACCATCATTTGGGGTGTGTTTGTGTGGTTTAGACGGAGAGGAGGAACATCTTCAGCGAGAGGAGTAATGCCCTTCACTCCCTCAACTCCGATGAGGAAGAGGATGGTTACGACTCGCCCCACGCCAGACGGAGAGGAGCCTCAGTGGACGAGTTTCTCAGGGGTTCAGAACTGGGCAGACATGTAAGAGTGAAAAACAGGCCATTTAAACAATCTTGTCCTCCGTTTTCACCCTTGTGTCCATCAGAGAAAACCGTTTTAACGGCTCTTTCCTTCTCTTTTATCTGCAGTTTTGATTTTCTGTGTTATTTTTAGGGCTGATTTCTCTGAAGGTGAAAATGGGGGAATTATGTTTTTCTTCTGTAATCTGAGGACACATTAAAGGCTCTCGCTCTTTCACTGTTGTTCTCTCTGTTGCTTTCTGTTCATTCCTTTCTCTTTCACTCTCTTTCTCCCTCTCTCTCCCTTCTTTCTTTCTTTCTCTCTCTCCCTCTCTCTCCTTCTCACTTTCTCCCTCTCTCCCTCTCTCTCCTCCTCCTTCTCTCTCTCTGTTCTTTCCTCCTTCTCTTTCTCTCTTTCTCTTTCTCCCTCTCTCTCCATCTCTCCTCCTTGTCTCACCCTCTCTCTGCTCCTTCTCTTTCTGTCTCACTCTCTTTCTCCGTTTCATCAACGTTGTCCCTCTCTTTCGCTCTCTCTCTCGCTCCATCACTTGTTTCCCTCTCTTCATCTCTTATTTCTCTCTCTTTCACTCTGTCTCTCACGCTCTCTCTTTCGCCCTCTCTCCCTATCTCGTTCCCCTGTCTTCACCTACTCTATTTCTCTCTCGCTGTCTTTCCCCTGTTCATCTTTTTTTCTCTCTCTCTGTGACTCTCTTCACGTCTCGTTGCTCTCTTCACCTCTTTTATTATTCTCTCTTTTCCCTCTCTTCATCTCTCTCTTTCTCTCTTCCCCCTCTTTGTATCTCTCACTGCATCTCTGTATTTCTCTCTGCGTCTCTGTATCTCTCTCTTTCTCTCTCTCTGTCTCTCTTTCTCTGTATTTCTCTGTCTCTCTCTTTTTCTCTCTCTCTCTCTCTGTGCTTCCCCTCTCTCTCTCTGCAGCACCACCACTACAGTCACAGTGAGGAGTATTACACTGAGAGTAGCCGTGGTTCTGACCTGTCTGATATAATGGAGGAGGATGAGGAGGAGTTGTATTCGGAGATGCAGCTGGAGGAAGGGCGCCGCCGCAGCATCAACTCACACAACACGCTCAAGGTACGGAACACACACGCTAGCGGCCGCCGTCTCTACTGGGCGTGGGGGCCTCCAGCTCGAGCGGTGGATAGACGCAGAGGGATGGAGTACGCAGTTTTCTATAGGCCGCCCCCTCGTGGACGGTATTAGTCGAGGCAGCCTGCTTTAACCAGGGCCAAGGTTTAGAAGGGATTCAGGGCAGGAGAGTTCAGAGAAAAAACAAATTTAGACAGTATTCCACTTACTCTGAATGTGGTCGATCTGCCAAGACATGTTCACTGTGTGACGTTTGCTGTTTTGATTTTGCATTGGAGCTACAAGGCTTATGTACCTGTAGCTGTATGCAAACTGTGCGAACTGTGTTTCTAAACTATTGCACACTGCAAAGAGTGTGATCTGAAAAAACTTGCTTATGTGGTTTCTTATCTACAAAAATGGACAATAATATGGACAAAATCTAGGATTTAGGATGGGTGCTACTACTGTTTTAGCTATGCAACCTACTTTTTTTAGCTATGCAAAGTATACATTTTAGCTATGTTCTAGTGTGTTATGTAGTGTCACAAACTACAAAAGCATGTCTGTTTGTGATTACTTAAAGGTGCAGTGTGTTAGATTTAGTGGCATCTAGCAGTGAGGTTGCAGATTGCAATCTACTGAATATCCCTCCCTCACCCCTCCCTTTCCAAGCACGTAGCAGAACCTACACTGTCCGTCAGGTTTTCTGCTGTCAGCTGTCCTGATTTTGTTTCACCTCTTCACGTTTTTGCTTCTTTAATGAAGAGGATTCACCTTCCCTTCCTTTTTCTTGTGCTAAATAGTAAGTATGATCTTCCATTTGGGTTCTCATACTTCTTACAACACAAAATTGTTAGTCATCACCGCAGGAACCACTGATTCTTCTGTTTTCTACGTCTTCCAGCCAGTAAATTCAAGCAAAATTCAAGCTAATGCTCCAACGTTTAAAATTCAAAAGACACTTTCTAGGTCCAGTGTTTGGTTTGTCTGTTCTAGGCTACTGTAAAAACATGGCAAGGCAACATTGTGGCCTCTGTCGAAAGAGTACCTGCTCCCTATGTAGATACAAAGTGCTCATTCTAAGCTAACAAAAACACAGCGATTCATAGTTACAGGTGATTGTACACTAATGAAAACATGGTGTACTATATTTCATTTCTGCTAGTAGATCCTCCTAAATGTTACACACTGCACCTTTAACAGCGCAATGCAATTTAAAGCAAGTGAGGGATAATTTAGGTATGCTAACAGAGTAAAACTACGGAATTATGGAAGCAAATTTCTGAAACGTCTTGGCTGCTCGACTACATTTTTAACAGGAAAACAGTGTGACTCAGATTTTTCATGGACTACATTAAGATACAAGGGCTCACCTGCAAAGTTAACTAGACGGGGCATTAGCTGGATCTGTGTAAAGAAAACAGAGTCTGAGTTTGGGGTTTCAGGTTGGAATGAGGCTTGTAAAGAGATTTATATCAAGTCAGCTCTTTACAGGGCTACATTGGCTTTGCACTACCCAGCTTTAACATCCTGCAACCATTTTTAAAGCCTACCTAGTCATACAAAGCTAAACTTATCTGAATGGCTTAACACAGTGCTTCTCCCTCCTGCTCCTGGAGACCATAGACGCTGCATGTGATTGTGTTTCCTCTGCTTCAACACCCGATTTAATGCGTAATGCAGTCATTAACACTATCATCAGTGGGTTATCAGGCTCAGCGCCAGAACTGAATCATCCTAAAACTACAGCAAATCATTGAAGTTGTACAAATTTAGGAAATCTGCTAATTTATCTTTTCACAAAATACAGTGCAGCCCTATAATGCAGCCAATACAGAGTAAGGAATTCAAACTTCAAATTCAAATCTTTTGTTAAATGTTGTAGCCCTTTACATCGGGCACATCCGACAAACAGGAGCAACGCTTTAGTTTAGTTTCACTTTTTTCTTAGCTGCTGCTGTACAAAAACTGAGCCTAGTGGGGTACGATGATTGGTTGGTGGGGTATTGCCCCACTAAATAACTCCCTGATACCTAGTGTTGCCAGCTTGGGCGGGTTCCCACCAACTAGGGCGAATTTTATTTGGATTTGGCGGGTGGAAAAAGTCCTTCGGCAGGTGGACAAAATTGGAAAAAAGGTTTGTCATTATTTTGGTGGGTTTTAAAAAAAGAACATTTAATTAATAAACTGCATTATGTAATAATGCAGCTTAAATGTGAATAGGCCTAACTCCTCCCCACATCCAATCAGCTATCAAAACTTTGACTGACAAACATTTTACTCACTCCTGTTGAGAGGAGGCCATAGCCCCCCCCCATCTGTATTAATCACAATCTACATCAGCAGTTAATGTACCCAGTTTATTATTCATGTAATGGATGTATGTTGGGCAAACACAGTTTGACCAGTTAACATGGCTTTACTAACTGTAAAGAGTTCTGCTATTGTTGGAAATCAGCCCATGATCTGTTCAGCAGATCCTATAAAGGTAAGCATGTTAAAAAAAAGTGAATGAGGGATAGTTACGCTTGTAATATTGTTGTTATTCATTTGCCTTTCTGACTGCATGAGATCATAAGTCTTATCATACACAACGCATTAAAAACCTCCTTGGGGTATGGAAATCAGATAATACACATACAAGTCAAATAATTTAATCATTTTGTGGAAATTATTCATAGTTTCTTTGTCAGTGATAAACACGTTTGTTTAAAAGACCAACAGCGCCACCTAGCAACAACTTCAGTACCTTCAATCAAAGTAATTTTTTGAGTTGATTAAAACTAGTTTTGTTACCACGTGAAGTAATTCAAGTAGATCTGATGAGCCATGAGGCTTTTTATAGTGTATCTGCTAATTTTTGAAGGCAAGACAGCAGCAAACATACCCAGAAGCTTATTTGCTGTTGTTTAAATGCTGTATTATTTCATTATGCTTAAAATGACCCTAGACTGTTTTGTACTTTTTGGGTGGTCTTTCATACATTTTGGCAAGTTTTCAACTTTTCTGGCTGAAAGCAATCTGGCAACCCTTCTGACGCCAGGCCTGTGGCTCATGTGTGTTAAAGTAGCAAAAACAAAAAAATGTGCAGTTCTGGGGGTCTCCGGGGCTAGGATTGGGAACCACTGGTTTAACATGAGGCTGCACACGCACTGCATGTGTTTATGATATGACATGCATGCGTGTTTGGTTCTACTTACATTGTATTTTGTTAAAATTTATGGACAACTCGCTACTTTTACAAGTCATGTTGTATGCAAAGAGGCAATATAACACTTCTGAAATGACTTTTCTGTAAGACAAATAACATTTGTGCAGGTATGTGTGATGTGAACAGCCAGCTTGACGTCAAGAAATTGTTTATGTGTGACGTACTTACATACACCTTTAAAACACCTTTAAAATGTGTTCAAATGTATGTAGACCAATTGTAAAAGTTATTATATATGCGTTTAGACTACCTTTGAGAAATACTGTGTATGTAAATGTGAGTTTTAAGCTGAATGATGTCACCAGCTGAGATGCTCGTGCCATGATGAGGCCATTTGGGAATCTCATTTAAGTGGGCATGCTTAAATGAAACGATTATTCACTTTTGGTTATGTTTGTCTCATGGTTATGCTTCTGTTAACTTTTGCTTTACTCAGTGTTAAACAGTTATCTTGTGAGTCTTTCTCTCTCTCTTTTGTGGCAAATTTTTGTGGAGGTATTTAAAACACACTGAGTCAAACAATAGAAACAAGTTCTAGCTGCTAAAATGGGTCGAGACAAAACACCACTGTAACGATCTAAAGCAATAAATTGGTATGTTTCATTTTTATATTTGTCATCTCTGTTTTGCATTATCTGTCAGTTTGGTGACTTCTTGGATGAGTGCAGTGATGGAATGGTACAAAAATCTTGTTATAGACAACCTGTTTTGGTCCAACTGGGCGTTCCAGTTAGCAGAAATGACGAGTTGATACATCAATAATGAATTAAACTATTGCTGTTTAGATTAGGGCTCGATCGATTTATTGGTTGGCTGATAATATTGACCAATGTTAAGGTCACGTTTATAGGAATTTAAGCTTGTTTTATCAGACAGAAGAACATTTGATTTAACGGTTTGTTCATAAAGAATGACAACAGTAACCAAACGCTCACTTTGTGCTTATGCTGTTTAGGATATTTAGACATTCTGGCCAAAATGAAAACCTGTTGAAAACATATTTACTCACCTCCTACAGCATTTTCATTTTTTTCCAATGTAGATGGAAACCAGGTAGCTAACGCTACTGCTAGGACACTGAAAATCTTATTACAGCTTTATAACTGTAGTAACTACCTTCAAATCATCATTACAATGGAGAATATGGGTTACTCGAATCACTGAAATGCCTTGTCAGATGAGGACAGAAAGCTAAGGTTAGCAAAGCAGCTACCTCACTGTCTAGACACCTTACCTTTAAATCTTTTCTCTGATTAAAAAGGTTAAAAAATTGTCTCTGATGTTGATTTTGTGCCAAACAAAGACAGAACCATTGACAAGAGAGATACTGTAATGCTAGCTTGCTTGTATTTATTAGCCTATAGATCAGCGGCTAGGCTAGCAGTCAGGATTGGTTGACAACACAGAGATTGAATGATGTATAGTGAGAGCACTGAAGAATGAAAACATTAAAACAATATGAATGAATGCTGAGAAAACGATAAGACTGAGGGACATTATGCTGCACTGCAGAATGCTGTATAACACCGCTAATAACATATCAACCCCTTACACGGCCACAGCCAACCGGTGGGCCCAAAGTTTTATTACACACTTTTATAACGTAAGAATTGCTCCACCCGTTTGCATTAAAGTCCCTGTAGTTACTGAATAATAAGCCTTAGTATGTAACAAGCCTGGGATTTTAAGGGGGTACGGCATATTTACTAACTTTGGGCCAGAATTCCCGTTTAAAAAAAATTGACAATTTAAAACTGACAATCATATCTGATCATTTACAGTTGACAATGATATCGATCAGTAAAGTATTAAACTAAATCAGACCATTTCCAGCTCTTTGAAAACAATACTGGTAACATTTTCATGTTGGTCAGGCCCTAATTTAAATACATGTTTTCCCTTTCTCAGTGTACCAGTGCCACATCTCTCTTTTCTTTGTCATCATGCGTGGGGTAGGTGTGGAAATTCCATTTTCCCCCATGCTCCATGATGACAAATACGAAATCGGCCCGGCCCTCTGCTCTGCTCTGTAAGGAAAACGGAAGGAGATTGGGCACAAATCTCAGAGGTGCCAGCAAAACAACCTGCATGTACAATAGCATTATCAAAAGTGTTCCGCAGATTTGAAACTGCCCAAAACGGCGGACTTTGAAACTGTTAGAACAGATTGGTGCTGACCTTTACTGATATCTCTGTTGTACTTTAGTGGTCTGTAGTTCACTCGGCCAGTGCAAGTCCTTTTCCCGCAATGTGCTTGGCACACAAACCTCTTTCTCGTTCTGTTTTGATCTTTTTTCCCCCACATATTTTTTTTTTGTTTTGGATCTAGATTTTGGCATCAGTTCTTTCACATCATGTCTTTTGAAGGTTTTTTTTCTTCTGTCAGATCATTGTACTCTGTGGGCTGTTCGAACAGGTCCTGCATCATGTGATCTCCTTCTCCAAACCCATCTTTGTTGCGATTCGTCTGTTCCTGACCGATTCCCTCCACAGATTCCCGTCCGCCAGCATGTCATGTCCGTCACGGAATGAGACTGCATGCTTTTAATTACACACGGCCATGGCCTCAGGGAAACTAATTCTGTCTTTATTTTTTTGTCTTTCTTTTCCCATTTTGGTTCCTTGTTTGCACACTGTCGTGTCCTCTCTCTCTGCCTGTTCTAACACCTTCAAACAAAAAACAAAACGCACCAACAAACTTATTGAAAAACAAAAATACACTGTTGAAAAAATTGTAACTGCAATAAAACTTGACAATTACTGCCTGGATCGGGCCCCCCCCCTCTTGCTCTGGGCCTCCCTGAAGGCGTACTACAGGCGGCAGGACCTAGCCGGGGTGGACGAGCAGGACAGCTGGGACTTGCAGCGGGAGGTGGTCCGCCAGCGCTCCCTTCGCTCCCACAAGCGCCTCCACAGCATCCCGGAGGTGGCTGAGGAGGAGCTGCCGGACACCGGGTCGGATGTCATGGGTCAGCGGCTTCGCTTTGAGGAGGCCCGGCCTGGGACGTCCAGGGTCTACCAGCAGGACCAGCAGCAGCAGCAACAGCAGCAGGTTGACCACCTTTCTCCAGGCAAGGGTGTCCGAAGGTTGCAAAGACAGCGCTCTTCCCCTCGCTACACATCCTTGGAGGGTTCTTTAGGTCCTGGGGGTCCTGGGAGTCCCAGGGGTCCCGGCTGGAGCAGCAGCAGCAGCAGGCAAACCACCAAAAGCCCAGACAGTGGCCTGGACTGTGGAAGTGAGGAAGAAGGCTCGTTGGGGTACCGTGGAAGCTACCACTACCATTACCATAGCAGCCCTCTGAGGGTGGGGTCCGGACCCAACATGCGCATCATCCACAGCGAGGGTCCCGTGGAAAGACGGGCGCTGGCCGCCGGCAGGAAAAGGACGCTGACCCGGCAGTCCAGCGTGGAGGAGGACTTCCTGGACGCGGCTGAGCTGAGGAGCCACTACTATCGGCCGCATCATCACCTTCACCATCATCACCTTCTTCTTCGTCACCCGCAGCGAAGGTTCCGGAGCGAGGGCAGGCTGACTGAGGTTGGCAGGAGCTATAGCAGGGACATTAGGGCCCACTCTGTGGCCAGACTCAACAGGGCTGTGGATGAACCTCTGGTGTGTGTCTACAACCCCCACTTCCTCCTCTTCCTCTTCCTCCTCTTCCTCCTCCTCCTGCTCTTCCAGTCCACCATCCCTCACTCCGCCTCATCCAACCAACTGCTTTGCCCCCTGCCATCGACTAAGCAGTAAAACCATTCCTCTTTTCTCAGTGTTCCACCTCTTCCTTTTTATGGGTCCATTTCCTTGTACTTTTCTTCTTTTTCTCTGTCTTTTTTTCCTCTTTTTTCAGATGTTCTGAAATTTCTGAAATTTGCTTCATGCTCATTGTTCATTTTGTTTATTTGTTTTGGCTTATTGGTTTGTTTTGTTTCGGTATCATATGAATCGGTTAATCTTTCCTAGTATGTGAAGTGAGTTTTTTTATGAATGTGTAGATTTTTTTTTTATTACCTAAAGGCCATTTCTGAGTGTTTCTTGTTCCTACTATGGGTTGTGAACAGCCTCTCAAATCAAACGGCAGACCAGCACAAAGTTGTCAGGTTCCTCCAGATGTTCCTGTAGCGCACAGTTCACAGTGACACACATATACACCAGTTTTTATTCCAAATTTCTGCATAATACAATTGTTAAGACATAAACAAAGTCATCCAGAGTGGTTTGATATGAAATGCTCTGTGCTGGAGAAGCTTATGTGTTCACAGTGGTGGTGATAGGAACCAGACGTCTGAAGAGCTGAATGGCTCTAAATGCTTCCTCTCAGAAAGTTATGGCATTAAATTGTTAAATAATACACCACAACATTGTTTTTATGATAGTTTTATGAGAGCTTTGCAGTACATTTTTGGCCTATGTATGTTTTGTATGTTTTGTATGACGGAGGGATACATGCAGGGTATTTTACAGCAAAATAGTCTCTAAAAAAAATTGTATTTTTAGATTTATCACTTTTTTTACCATCATCAACATCACACATTAAAACTCACTGGATGTGTAGGTTCACTGGGGGTTTTGAATAGTAAATAAAATGGCTGTATTTGTAGACATTGTACCTCTTCGTTCCTATCACCACTGTAAAGAAGATGGTATATTTCTCCAAAACAGATTATTTAGCATTAAACCGCTCTGAATGACTTTACATCTCAATGATTCAATTATGCAGGAATTTTGGAGAATTTTGAGAATTCCCGTTTAACTGCTATATCTTTAACCCCCTCAGTGGTCAGTCAACAGTGTGATGAATTATGACTTTGGGTTCTAGAAGCCATCTCGTTCTCTCTCATACCCTCTTCCTTCAACACAAAGCCACTGAGAACTTACAGAACAAAAACCCAAATGGTCTTTAGCTAAACATCTGATTTGAAACCCTACCCATGTCGTCGTTGGGGTTTGTTTTTGAGTGTTTCTGTTGGACGTTTTTTGATGAGTTCATCCTCCTTGTTTTGAAATTTTAGACTGTTGCTTTATATGGAAGATCATGCTTAACATAACTGCTTTGATTATGGGTTTAGTGGGCGTGGTTTCATTTGATCATAATATAAATGCCATTTTTTTTTGCGACTGAAGCTTTTAACACTGTATATTTTGATGTCTGCTTTTGAAGATTTTAGGGAACTCCCCCCCGACGGGACGCTCGGATCGACTGGACCAGTCTGGCCGTAGGACGAGTCATGGCTGTCCGCCCCCCCAGAGAAGGCCTATGATGGTTCCTTCCATTGGTCAGTGAGGTCACGTCCTGTGTGGGATACGCCCGCCTTCTCCCTTCCTTATAGGACCCCCCTACCCCCCATTGTTGTGTACATTCCCCTCTATGTGTTTCTTAACATGTCGTAGTCATGAACTCTGGAGTCCCGTAATGAACCATGCTCATCGTTCAGGATTTTGAGTTGTTGCTTTTTGAGTGTTAGCTTGATTTAGTGATTTGTATACTGTTGACTGTATCACTGATCAAAGTCAGCACAAAAGTAACTTTGAAAAGCTTTGACCTCAGCCCACCATATGAACTCTTGAAAATAAAGGTTCCTTTAACTGGTATAGAACCTTTTACCAACCACTGAAAGGTTCTATTTGGGATTCAACAGTGGTTCTTCCATGAAGAACCCTGTTTGGCACCTTTATTTTTAAGAGTACCAATATCACCAAGAACAGCTGGAACATTGCTGTTTTACTCACTGCTGTTATTTTAGAAGATTGGCCTTAACTGCAGATCTGGGATCAGTTTGGCCTTGCAGCTCATGGTGCTCCAGGCTAAAACGCTCACGCTCAAGACAGACTGATCCCGGAAAACATCTCCACTCTGCTTCAACGCACCTCATTCTCCACAGACAGCCGAGGGCAGGTGGGGGTGGCCAGTTAGAGAGGGTGTGGCTGTAACGCTCTGATTGGTGTTTCCGTAGAGATCACCATGGAGAATAACAGTGAGGGGAGTGAGGGGAACCTCTCACCCAAGGACGATGTTTACTATGGCAGTGTAGCTCACCGCAGGAAATGGCCGGCACAGCGCTCAGAGCACCGATATGGTATGTGGAGCAGCTCCTTTCTGGAAGACCAACAGAGTCAGAGAAAACCAAACAAATGAAAGGACAAGCAGAGCAATAAAAGCTAAAATAGGCCTACTGTAGGTGATGTCAGCGCCCCGAGAGCTGAGGGGAAGCAGTGCTTGGAGGGCAGTGCTGCTGTAAATGTGAACTTCATGTTTGTAAGGCTACATAACACCTACAGAAGATCATCATGACGGACCTACATAAGCATTTATAAAGGTTTATTCCAGTAGTCTGTTGGCTACTTTTGCCTTTTTTAACTTTGATGTCAAGTTGAAAGAACACCTATGTCAGGTGACCTCGATCTTTTCTGACACTGGGTCATGACACTTTTTTGAGTGAAACTAAATTAGCACCTTATAACAACTGAGCTAGTGTACAGCGTATAGCTTAGTGTATATTAAAGCTTAGTGTATAGCTTAGTGCAGAGGTCAGCAACCCAAATGTTAAGAAGAGCCATTTTGTCCTTTCAACAAAAATCAAACCACCTTGGGAGCCACAGCATTTCATGTCAGTTTTACCATCGTGGCTGTAAATATGTCTCACTATGTGCTAATGTAAAAATATAAACAAAACACTGCCTTACTGTGCTCTGCTTTAAGCTTTAGCTCAGCTAGAAATGCAAATAAGTCAGTTTGTCTCCAAATTATCGATGCTCGTCTAAAGCCTTCCTCTTTGCCTTTTTAGCTACTAGCTAGGCGAGATTTGTCTGTGTTGCTATGGTGACCAGCAGTCTGTGCGCCAATCTTCAGGGTTAAAGAGTAAATTAGCAGATATGGGCTGCTTTAACTCCAGCGTTTAAGATCATTTATTGTTAAACTGTGTTGAACGATCAACAGAGCTTTATTTTACTGCAAAGGAGGATTATTTTATTTTCACCTAGAAATCTAATTTTGCTGTGGAGTCACAACAGGAGAGTAAAAGTGTGCACGTTGCCGACCCCTGGGTTAGTGTATATTAAATGCTGATTATATGTAAAACATAGTAAAAATAAAACCGAACAATTTGTAGATAAACCTTTGACAGTATTGCTGTCTGATACAAGCCCTGCAGGCCCAACAAATACATTGCTGAATCTTGTTTGACATCTTAATTACTACAGGGCTGAAGTTGACTTCTTATTCATCTGCTTTTCATATGCATTTTCCATTCCACCTTAAATGGAAAATGCATATAAAATTTTATTTGAATCGTGCCTCGATCATCACTGACTCAGCTACACAGGCTAACATTAGCGTGGTTCAATCAGCTTCACTTGGGAACGTTTGTCGTATGACACTGTGACATCCACTGAGCTACAAGAACATATCATAACAACCTAAAGTCAGAAAAAATTCATGTCAGCTGACTCTGATGTTATGTCAACTTGACAAATGTGATCGTTATGACAAACAACACCTGCTGGAATAAGTGTTTATAAATGTTTGTCAGTTGTCATGAAGGGCTTATGTAGCCATATGAACACTGCCGGAAAGTAAAGTGCAAAAATAATATATGAAAAAAAAATTGATTAATTAGTTTGATTAATTCTGAAATTTCAACATTTGAAAACTCAAAATTATACACTCTCTTTTTGAAGATTTAAAAGTAAGAGGTAAAGTGAGACAGGGCTTAAAAAGGCATCAGTCTCCAGTCATGAGGCACAGCACCAGAATTGCCAAAATGGCTAACAGTGAATGAAAGCTAGTGGGAGTCCGCTCGCTTTCATGTTCTGGCTTTATAAAAGGGGAATTACACTGATATTCAACATTTCTGCATAATGAAATCGTTAAGATGTAAGGTCATTCAGAGTGGTTTGATGTGAAATTAGAAAACTTACTGAGGCAGAATTGTTCACAGTGGTGGTGATAGGAACCAGACATCTACAGAGTTTAATGCCTCTAAAACTCCATCACAGAAAGTTATTACTCAAATGGTTATGAATAGAGATATGATACATTGTTATAAGGCAGTTTTTAAATAGGCAAACAGATTTTTTTCAGATTTTCCACTATTTTACCATCATCAACATTGTATATTAAACCTCCGAAGATACATGTAGGTTCACTAATCATAATTGGATATATTTGTGTTGTGACCCCTGTAGTCATGGTGACCCCTGGTTCCTATCACCACCACTGTAAAGAAATCTGAGTCCGCAAGTTTCTCAACAATGAACCATTTCACACCAAACCACTATGACTGACTTTATTTACATCTCAACCACTGAATTATTCAAAAATGTAGAAAAATCAATGGCATTTTTGGTTGATGTATTTATTTAACACACTGAGACCTAATAGCAGGCTTTGACTGGTCTGAATCAGTTAAGAAATGTGGTTCTCCATGACTGAATTTAAGACCAGCTTACAAAATGCTCTGTAATTAAGCATAGTGGCCCTCCAAGCATTGATGTTTCCTGTTTTTGAGGCAGTGACAGTAGTATGTAGAGGTGTGAATGTCGTTCCCCTCCTTTGTGGCCTCCAAACCCCCAAAACTCTCCCTTTTCTTGTTCTATCCCTCCGTTTGCTCCTTTCCTCCCTGTCCAGAGGTGGCCTGCACAACCCTGTCTTCTCCCTCCTGCTCCTTGACTGTTTGTCTGTGTTGCATGAAGGCCCTTTTCCTGTTTAGTTCTAGTCCTATGTCCGTTTCTCTTCTGTGTAGTGGGCTGTCATTAGAGAAAAGTGTCAGCAGCTGAAGTGAAATAGGCTTCAAAAGAGTGGTCAGATAATGACTGTAGAGTAGGAAGATAGACGGTACGTGTCCAGCATGGTGAGACGATCTGTAACTTGCATGGTTCATTTTCCTGTCAGCTCCATGGCTCTGTAGAATGTTCATGATATCCTTCCCTTTACTTCAAACATCCACTGTGAAGTCTGCGAGCATCTCTCTCCTCCACGGCGGAGGTGTTCAGTGACTGTTCCTGCTCGTCACTGAATTATCCACCACTCACCTGCTTTGATTTGCCGCAAAGCTTGACGCTAATTTGAAAGTTCGGTTACGTTTTATTTTAAAGGTCCTCTGTTGATCCAAAGTAGATGCTCATCTTGTCTTCTAAACTGACATTCAGTCAAATTTGTAACTTAACTTTTCCATAACCCTAATTCTAACACTCACTCTAACCCTAACCTTAAGCTCACCCCGACACCTAAACCTAGCCCTAGTCCTAACTCCTGTCATAACTCTAACCTGACACCTAACAACCTGTTGGCAATCAATCAGTTTTGCCAGATTGCAAATCGCAGGGCAGGACAGATTCCTAATGTGAAAATCCATTGATTTTTGCATTTCTGCATGAATAAATGGTTAAGATGTAAACAGAGTCGTTCAGAGTGGTTTGGTGTAAAATGCGCTGTTATAGAGACACATACTGCATCAGCATTGTTTACAGTGGTGGTGATAGGAACCAGACGTCTGAAGAGTTTAACACCTCTAAAACTTTCCTCACAGAAAGGTATTACATAAAATTGATATGATTTCTCCGAATGATGTCTGACACTTTATTTTATGATAATTTTGAGGCAAAACTTTGACATAAAGCATACATTTTTACATATTGATGGCGGAGAGGTACATGCAGGGTGTTCTAAGGCTAAATAGTCCCTAAAAAACACTTAATTTTTCAGATTTGCTACTACCACTAATAATATTACATATAAAAACTCAGAAGATGTGTAGGTTCACTGGTGGTTTTGGATAGTAAATAAAATGGCTATATTTGCCCTGGTTCCCATCACCACCACTGTAAAGTAATCTGAGTTTGTAAGTGTCTCTACAATGAACCATTTCACACCAAACCACTCTGAATGACTTTGTTTACCTCTCTATCACTGAATTATGCAGACAATTTGAAAAATCAGTGTTACTCCTGTTTAACATCTGTACATATAGCTGTCAGAGACCACTGAAGAAGGCCTGTAGTACACACTTAAACATGATGGTTCTTAAAGGGTTCTTTAGTAAAGAAAATGGCTCTGTATACAACCATGAACACTCAGAGAACCCTTTTTCATGATTAAAGGGTTCTTTGCTTTGCTAAAAGCGTTCTTCAGATTGATGCAGAACGTGATGTAGATGGTTCTATATAGAACCTTTCTGAAAATTATTCTATAGAGCACCACTTATCCTTTTGGGTCAGAGGGGGTGAGCTGGAGCCTATCCCAGCTGTCATTGGGCGGAAGGCAGGATACACCCTGGACAGGCCGCCAGTTCATCACAGGGCACCCCAACACCACATGTGTAAGATAAATGTGTAGGCTGTAGCTGAATGTCCTCTAAAGCCTATTTATTTGTTCAAAATTGGTCTGATTGACCTGCTATAAGAAACCCAGGCTCTACAGACTCTGTCTATGGACAATTATCAATAAAGCTGTTTCATTCAAAATAACACTCTGCGTCCGAGTACCGAGCAGACACGCTGAGAACCTGATACAGCAGCTTTGCTAACTTGTGCAACACTGTACCCTGAAACTAAGAGCAGGCATTAATGTAAATGAAAGGACAATACGGTCTCTCCACAGCCTATATTACCAAGACAATAAAAAATCAACGTATTACAATTTATACCTCGCAGGTCTATTCGAAGTCGGCATATATGGACTTTGGTGGCAAATGTCAACCTTTTCTCCTCGTTTTTTTTAGCCTGTGTTTCCACCTGTATAGTGGAAGTGGTTGTGATTGAGTTTGTGTGTGTTTAAAAAGGTATATGTTTAAAGTGACCAACGGCCAACTGCCACGGCGTCACAAACACTTTGCTGTGCAAGCACACTCTCGTTCACAGTCAGCTTGAGCGATTTGTTCATTAGCGCAGCAGCGCACACTCATGTTATCAGCTGCTATTGGATATTGTCGGTGAATTTTTTGTAGGTCAAGTATGAATAAGTGAGCACGATATTGGGCCGATTCCTCATGCCAGTGTTAGTATCGATGCATCCCTAGTAAACACATAATAGTTTGTAAGCTTTTCTAAGCTTCTCCACCATGAAAGGTGAACCTTTAAAAAGACTTCAAAATATCCATGATTTCACTGTGGATCCTTCCTGTAAATGATGAGCAGCATGATAACTTGACCATCTCCAGATCATCTATGTGGGACCATCAAAATAAAGGGTGATCGAATGACTTTACAGTGGATCATTCCTGTAAGTGACGTTGCCTTGTTGTGGTAAAACAGCAATGTTGACTCTCCTTTTCCCTGTTCTTTTAGCATGCATGGCTGTTTCTCCCAAACTCCTGCTGCACCCTGCCGCTCGGTTTGAGATGTGCCTATGTGTTCTCTGGGCATTTGTCATGTGCTCAGTCTGTTTTCATGCTGTAAGCTGTAACTGTGTGACGTTTAGGTATTCAGATTGGTTTACTGTGTATAATGTTTTTAAATTGAAGTTGTTGCTGATTTTTGATATATTATTTTAGTATTTTGATCGAACGCAGATGCTTTTCAATCCAAACAGCACCGTAAATGATCACTCATATTCTTCACTGCTGCTCGGAAAAGACAGCCGCTACAGATGTGGCCTGTTTTCTGGTTCTGAGAGTAGTAGTAGGTATGTGTGTGGTGTCTTCCAGATGGCTATGGTGGACGGGACAGGCGCTCTCCAGACTATTTCGAGGAATCTGAACTGGATGACCTGCCGCGGATTTTTGTGGCGCTGTTTGACTATGACCCCCTGTCCATGTCACCCAACCCTGACGCTGCAGTTGAGGAGCTGCCTTTTAAAGAGGGCCAGATTATAAAGGTGAGCCATGATGATTTCGATGAATAGCAAAGTGGAGACCAGTTTAGAGTACAGAATGAATAATAAATATCAAATAAATTATTTTATATAAATGGGGGCAAGTTATTCTTTTTATACAAGTTCTATCTATTTTATCTATCATTATTGAAATGCTGGTGACGGTTTATTTCTGCAGATATCACCGTATTTTGATTGCGTATGTGTCTTAAAGGGGCAGTTTGGTGAAAAATCCTTAATCCAAATGTAGTCAGTCATCCAAGATGAGCTTTGTTCTTCAGTTTGCTTCTATAAAAATGGACAAATGAATGGACAAAATTCAGGCTTCAAGATGTTTCCTAGTGTTTTTGCATTTTCGCAGATAACAATATTTCATACAGTATCAAAAAGCACATATGCTGTCATTTTGGCATGCAGTTTGCACTATGCCATTCGCTTCCATTGCATGTTATTAGGGATGCGCAATAATGTCAAAATTATTTAGGTATTGATAAAAAAATGCTCCAAAAAATTGTCAAGGGCAACTAACAATTAATGATTAAACTGTGCTGAACTACTGTGCTAATGTCTACAATTATTAATTTTACTGCATTCATACCTCTTTACAAATGCTTACATTTCTCTGTAATGCTAATCTTGAAGGATTCAGTTTCAATTTCGACATTTTATGATGCGTATGTATCAGTATCAGCATCAGCATAAAAATATTAAATATTGGCATTGGCCCAGAACTCCTATATCAATCCATGCGCTGCCCAGCTTGGTTGAGAGGATGTAATTGGCAGGTTATTGTTTGATCTATTTAAATATCTGTTTATAAATGAAAATATGCTCACCCAACATTTAGTTTGAATTAAATATTCTAGTGTCACATTAGGTGTTGATCACAGCGTTTCTTCATCCTTATAGAAACCATTTTTCTGCAAAGTGTCATATGAGTTTGGGGTTGCTTTATTGAAATATGATGTTCAAGAAATGGTAATAGCATGAGGCTTTCACTTTGTTGTTTTATCAATGTGAGTGAGGGCTCCCCCTTCTGGATGATTGAAGACATAAGCAATCAACTTCCAATAGCAGGGGTGTCCAGTCTTATCCACAGAGGGCCGCTGTGGCTGCAGGTTTTCTTTCCAACAGAGCAGAACCACACATGATCTGTTGCTTGAAGGCTGAGCCATTGATTAAACAAGTGGAATCAGGTGAGCTCCTGCTCGTTTGGAATGAAAACCTGCAGCCATACTGGCCCTTTGCAGATAAGACTGGACAACCCTGTCCTATAGCATCCTTACAGTAATCAAGAGCAGATCCATTTTATTTTATAGACCTCACAGTCTAAACAGTATTTACTGTTGGTTTAAGGAACTGATAACACTTTCCTTATGCATTAAATTTAGAAATATACAGTTGTATGCTAAAAGTTTTGGCACCCTTTGTCAAATTATGTGTTGTTTATTTTCTAAATCCCATGTGTCAAACACAAGGCCCGCGGGTCAAGGCCCGTGACACAGAAATTATTTTAAATTTCTATTAAAATTAGCCAATTTCACCATGAGATGCACTACGGTCCCCAGCATGCACTGCAACATAGTGTACATTCCGTCCCCTTCCCCCAGAAACAATCTATGGGCCCGCGGTTACACAAAAAGAAAAGGTGCCTGGTGGCTATTTCAAGCAAATAGGTGGTTAAAAAAATACCTAAATGTATTTATTTTTATTTAGAATTATTTTTAAATGAGTATTTAATGCCTATTTTGCTGTTGCAGTTTTAGCATATCGCTGCTGTTGGAAGAAAACCTCGTATCTCCAAAATGGTAACTTTACAGAAGAAGTAAAAAACCTACTTTACTTTTAATGTAAGTCAGTGGAACCCGACTTTTTGCCAAGTCATTTTGATCCATTTCTTCTGGTCCATTCATCATGAAATTTGTACACAATGTAAAGAGCAACAGACATTTTCAAATTATGTCAAAAACGGTAAAATGGAGATACAAGGTTTTTCTCCGACAGCAGCGACATTTTGAATAAACAATGGACCATAAAGGTCATGGCAAAATCTTAACTAAAAAAAGGAAATAAAAACGCAGCTGGCCCACGAATTTGCAGAGAATTTTAAATATGGCCCTTCCAGTGGTTCAGTTTGACACCCCTGTTCTAAATGAAAATAATCCTCTACAGAGAACACACTTCTGCACATGATAATGCAGAGTTACTGTTTATTTGCTGAATGTAACATATGTTAATATTTTATGCTTTTCTACTATGTAACAGCAAATGAATTGAAATTGTGCATTAAAACTAGGACAAAAACGACACATTTAAGTGTGATTTGACCGGGGTGTTCAAACTTTTGCATATGCTGGTATGTAAATTAGTCTTTGGCCCAGGTATGAGCTGTAGAGGAATCAGTTGCACATAATTTTTTCTAATATAAATGGTCTGACTATAAATTAATGCCTAATCATTTCAAACACTACAAAATAAGTATATAGAGATTGTAAACCTGAGTGTATTTTTCAAAAAATAATTAAGTGCAAACTTTTAGCACCTAATACATTTTAGTTGATTGACAGTTGTGTAATTTTACACCGAAGTATTCACTATGATAGCGGCCTACTCTCTCTATCTCTATCTCTTTAACACTCATAACTGTCTGTTTTTAAGGAACTTTCCGCTGTTAGTTTTACTGGAAGGAAGCCCTCGTTGTCCTGTCTTATGATCTGTGCCGTGCTGTGCAGGTGTTTGGGGAAAAGGACACGGACGGTTTCTACAGGGCTGAAATCTGTGGCCGGCGGGGGCTCATCCCCTGTAACATGGTCTCAGAGATCCAGACTGAGGATGACGAGATGATGGAGCAGCTCCTCAAACAGGGCTTCCTTCCACTTAACACGCCTGTCGAAAAAATAGGTACATTGACCGTTCAACGTTCCATCCTTCTGAATCTCTCTTCCTCCTCCAGTCTCTCCTCCTTCCCTCTGTTCTTGCTTGTTGCTCACTTTCTTAAACCTCAGAGCCTGAGTCTAACCTTTTCCATCGGAAAGTAATGAGGAGTGCTGTTGAATCCTGTGAATCCCTTTTCATTCTTTTCTCCCCCCCTTGTTTCTTTCTCTTTTTTCCCTTTCTGCCTCTCTCCTCTTTTCTTTCCAAGTGAATTGCGATAGGTTCAAAGACGGCCGCTCGCTAAACCGCAGGTCTCGGAAATCCAAGAGAGGTTTGTTCCCTCTGAGCTGTCGCTTCTTTTCTTTCTCCTCCTCGGACATTTCATCCCCGTATTTTCCTTATTGCTTTTCCATCACAGATGCAATGCTAGTGCTCCACCCACTTGCTTGCTCTTTAATACTGATATGATGCATCTGCATATCAAGCCAAAACATAGCATGTCCTGACAGCTGGACGAAATGCTACTATTGCATAATCAGAATTACATGTCTACCTGTTGCTTAGTGTCTCTTCCAAATGAAATGTCCACCAGAGTGTTCTGCTGTAGTAAAGAGTGTATTTGGTATAAAACAGCAAAAAACCTGACTAAAGTGATTGAATCACCTACTGGCCAGAAATCGTAAGACAAATCTGTATACTTAGCAGAGTGAGATTATTAATAATGTGAATATTTGTTATTCATTGGGAAAATGGGTGATGTATGACTCCTTGGAAAACACACAGAGTCAGAGTAACAGACACATTAATACAAGGACATTAAAAGTTTATGCTTCCCTGTTTGATAACACATCTTTGTAACTATAGGCAGTGTTTTTCTTGTGTGGCGTAGTTCTTTGTCATAGTTCTGATGTAACATCTCCTCAATAACCTATGTATGTATAACGCATTCTTTGAAGCAAAATCTCAATAAACAGTAGTCTCTTTCTGCAGGCCCTCTAGTGGCCAAACTGCTGGCGAGCTGGAAATCGACTTGGATAGTGACTCTGTGTTGAGCTGCTAGCGAGCAGTGAGGGCCGAAAGGGGAGTAGTGAGACCCTCCTGCTCTGAAAACAATTCACACCTCTCCACTTCTCAGCAATTCTGAGATAAAACAAAGTCGCACTATCAAACAATCTTGTACAACAGCCACAATAAAAAATAGCATTTAAACGGAATAAAAACATTTTTATAAATGTTTCCTTACTCGCTTACCTACAAAGACGAAAATCTAGTTCGCTTCCAGTTTTGTAACTCATACAGATTTCCATTAAAATCGACGTCACTGAGGAAAAAGTGCATCATTTAACAGAGAACCTACAAAAACAGGTGGAAGTAGCGTTTTATGACTGCTGTGTCTGAAACAATGAAGTGTTGTAGAGCAGCTGGAGAAGCTCCTCTGGTACATTAGCAAAGTGTGCTGGTTATTTCCATCATTACAACACATGTGAGTCAGTGCTCAGTGTCAGTGCTCATACAGTGATGTGTCATTTGTATTCTTGTATTTTGTCATATCTGCATTTTCAGATTTCTCCTATTTTTATTTCAGTGAGTTTTCTTGTTCTACTGGTCATGATGAACAAAACAGTCTGCTTGTTGACTGAGCAAAGCTCTTTATCTCCCTCTTACGCTCTCTCTCTCTCATGTCCTCTCTCTCTCTTTTCTCCTTTTCCCTCCATCTCGTCTCAGAGAGGAACAGGAGGAGCGGAAGGCACCCGGTGTCCACCCATCGGATGGTGGCTCTGTACGACTACGACCCCAGGGAAAGCTCTCCTAACGTAGATGTGGAGGTAACGAAATGACTCCTCTGGTCCTCCATATGCTTACATAGTTCATCTCATCAGCTGGCCAGGATACTAGCCTCTGTCATTAGCGTCAGCCCATTATCGCTACAGCTGCAGTATAGCTCAACTTTTGCCTTTCCATGGGACATTAAACTGTGTTTAAATCATTTAATCACTTACTTATTGGCTAGAATAGAGCATTTAATGGAGAAAACATTTCTGAAATTGAATGATGTGAAGATAAATAGGAAATGACTCGAGACAGAGGCTTATTTAGCGATTTGCCTTTCCTGTGGCAAAGTGCAGTGTTGTTTTTATCCAGTAGGAGTCACAATGTAAATAGAGTTGGATTAGTACAAATGCAATAGAGACTGGTATCCAGGTGACCAGTTCTGCTATCTTTCATTGTGTTAAATCATACCATGCTTTTCTCATTGCTTTTTGCACATTGCTCTTCATTTTCAGTCTCGGTGGACACGATTTTCCTGTGTATTTTTCATTGTAATAGATTTGAGGTTATTTTTGTGATATGTAACCACAATAAATGGACTCTGTATGTTAATATATCTGGGATTGACTAATGAATATTAATTTAAGTGTAATGTTATGCCATGTACATGTTACGGTGGCCGAGAAGACCCAACAAACTGCAAATAAAAAATGAACTGCAAACGCAGAAAACACTTTCGGCAAAATGACGACTCCAACGCTTCATAAACACGCGCAAATACAGAAACACATGCAACTTCAGAAACGCTGATAAGCCAGTCACAACACAACGGAGGTGTTTCTGGAGGACACTCAGAGAGGACGGAGCCATTCAGACTTTTAAATTCTATGCAGCACAAACATTCACCGGTAGAAGTAAGTTAAGTTTCATTTGAGCAGATTACGACTGTCACTGTGTCGTAATGGGATTTAGCTGTAAAAGTTTAACTAGTAATACCAGAGAACTCCCACAGCACGGCCGTGACATGTCAGATAGCAAACCAGCCAGCCAGGTTAACCATGAACTAGGGATGTGAGTGTCTGGGGTGGTCTTATCTGCTTCTGTCAGTGACTTTCCATCATAGATATTCCATCCCCTTTGAGCCCTTTGAGTCTTCCAGAGACAGTTCCATTGTGTTGTGACTGGCTTTGCAGCGTTTCTGAAGTTGCCCGTGTTTTCTTTATTTGTGTTATGTAGCTCTGATGTAGGCTTGTTGATGAAAGTGTTTTCTGGGTTTGCAGTGTGTTTATGAGTTTGCGAGGTGTTTTTAATTGTACTATGTTTTTGATTATACTTGTCGGCCACCGTAACATGTAAGTAATTATACAAAAAGAAAACTGGGAAAAAATCTGATTTTTATCCTGTTGTTATTATTATAAACATATTGTCACTGTCGCGACAAAACTTTGCATCTCCATTTTTGTCATTTTTAATTTTTTTACGTACAGTTGTGTGCAGAAGTATGTGCACCCCGGTCAAATGACATATTGTTGATTTTCTGATTGTAAATTTTTTAACATATACTCTACAGAGAACACACTTCTGCACATTTTAATGCACTATTACTGTTTATTTGCTGAATTTAACTTAGTGGGGAAAAAATGAAACAGGAAATATGACCTGTGCAAAAGTTATGGCGAATTTTAGACTTTATGATTTTTTCACTGGTTTAAACTCAGGAAATTAAATTGAAATGGTGCACTAAAATTTGCAAAATCTGAACAATCCCAGGTGTGTTCTCTGTAGAAGATGTGCACTTTTCACTTAGAAAATCAAAAACAAGTCATTTGACCAGGGATGTTCACACTTTTGCACATGACTGTGTTCACTAATGTGAAAATGCCAGCTGCCCTTCACACTGCATCAAAATTTCAGGATGAATAAACCAACAGAATAAAATCCTGTTACTTTGACTTACATTGAAAGTTGGGAATGGAGATACGAGGTTTTGTTCCGACAGCAACAATAATTTATGTCCTCTATTATTGAATAGCTCACAGACTAAAGAGCTGAAGCATATCCGTATGTACTGCATTGTGTATCAGCTGTCCATAGCTAGTGCTGTGTTTTCCACCCGCTGTCACTCACTCTCACCTTTGCGTTGGCGCTGCCACACAGGCCCACTATGAGGGCATCAGACTGAGTGATGAGGTGAGTGGGGAAAGAGTGAGAATACACTCGCTGGGCCTTGTTCCAAATAACACTCTATTCCCTACTGAGGGAACTCACTACACTCCGCACTCCTTCTACTGTCTGCATGAGCACCTGGATTGTCTATGGCGCACTGACGTTAGCTCACTTGAAGGAATACCCCAGTGTTCTTCAGCCTAATCGCTGTCTTCAGAACCTGCCCACTGACTTCTACACTCTCAGAAAAAACTTTTACTGTGGTCTCAAGAGTACATCTTCAGTACCTTTACATAGGGTATATAATTATACACTCTTAAAAAAGTTGGTTCTTCATGGGTTCTTTAGTAAAGAAAGTGGTTCTATATAGACCCATGAACACTCAAAGAACTCTTTGCATGATTAAAGGGTTCTTTACATGGTGAAAGTGTTCTTCAGATTGATGGGGAATGTGTTGTATATGGTTCTGTATAGCACCTAAAAGGGTTCTTCTGTTGTTACGATGTCAAGCTTGTAGCAATAGAAGAACCCCTTTTGGTGCAGTATAGAACCCTTTTCAAAAACGTTCTATACAGCACCATATACAGCACATTCTCCGTCAATCTGAAGCAGTGAACCCTTTAATCACGCAAAAGGTTCTTTGAGTGTTCTTGCTTCTTTATAGAACCATTTTCTTTACTAAAGAACCCTTGAAGAACCATCCTTTTCAAGAGTGTACCGTTTTCTGTATTGACTCTATACACCGTGTTTTCACTACAGGCTCTTCATTTTAATAAATAGTTATAAAAAAGTACAAATATGCCCCTTTCCCCTGAGAAACTAATTTAAAACTAATTTAGGGTACTTTGGATCTTAATGAATGATATGTGTAAATTACCTCTGTTCTGATTGGCTGTCCTCTTGTTCAAAAAGCAATGCGAGCTGAAACAGTCCTTATAACTTCAGCATGAATGGGCGGGGGCTAAACTGCTGCAGGTGTACAGGTGGCTAAATGTAAACGAGCCGCTTTTGCAGCATAGTTTCCATATAAGGACTTTGTGGACTATAAATTATGGTAAATTATACCAAATTTTGCACATTTATTTTAAATGAAAAAGTTTGAAGTAGTTTACATCAATTTGGTTTCTCATCATATGGGGCCTTAAAGGACATTTTTGTATCTTTTAGGGTACATTTATGTTGTTTGTACCATGGAGACTAATATTTACTCCTCATTTTCTGACAGTGTATTTTGCATCAGTGAGTTTTCTGTCCTCTTACTAAGCTATTATTTTCTGGGCTAATTAGTCACATGCTATAGATGTGGCAGATGGACATTAGGTTGAACAATTCTGGAGTGTTCCTTCGATGCATGTGTAGTTTGTACAGTTCAGTTTAATTCAAACTAAATTGTACATTGTTTGGCTTTCAGTTTAAAAGTGTTTATATTTGCAAAATATACAATTATTTCTATCCATTTCAAAGTTACTTCTCTCATAAATGACGAAACATTTCGGGTTTAGACCAGGTGACTAGATGGCATGCTGAAGAAAGTCAGTTATTACTCTCTGGAAGTTCTGGAATGTTCAAGAAATGCTTACGTCAAGTGCTGCGTGTCGTTCTGTAGTGTTTCTGAGGGCTGTTTGAATGGCTGCATGACTAAACCAGCAGTAACAGTGTGCAGTGAGTGAGTTCCTGTAGGAGGGAAGTGTGGAGTGCTTATTTGAAACACAGCCTGTGTCTGTCTGGTACTTGCTGTGGAGGAGAGGTCAAAGGTCACAGTCACTGTGTGTGCACACAGCTTTCAGCTGAACCTGCCTTACCTCAGAGCTGCCCTATGTGTCAGTGTGTGTGTGTGTGTGAGAGTTCTTCATTAGTGTGGTTGATGTGCTTTGGAATGGACATCCATGAACTAGTGTTATTACACCAGTATGTAATCAGTATTTTCATGTGGTTTATGATATGATTGAACCTGCATATGTGTTTATGCTACATTCCTGCATATATTTTTATGCAATTTACACAATTTCCCCTTTCGCTTCTGGAGTTTTGCTTATTAGCTAAAAAGTAACGGAAGCTTACATAACCCAGTCAGCATTGGGCAAACTGCATGCCTAATGCTGCATTCATGATCAAGTGGGAACTGGGAAGTTTCCATTTTGGAAAAAAAATCCATTAGATTGGGAAAAATCCATTTGAACATCCTTCAAATTCGTAATTCCCACTTGGAAAATAGGAGTTTCTAAAGAGTTCCCACTTGCTAATCCATGACATCATTTCAACATGTTGGTGCCCACAGAATAAGACTTATGGGCATGTTTCTCAAAGTAAGATATCATGTGTAGGATATCCTGTTTGTGTATAGTGACGATAATTGTAAGGTTAATAAAATTAATAGTTGAACAAAAAATCATTTACCCAAAAATGTACCCAATTTTCCACTTACTCCAAATGTAGTCAATCTGCCAAGACATGTTTGGAGTCTAAATTTTGTTTCTTTACTTTCAAACTGGAGCAATGAGGCTAATGCTGGCAACAAACTCAGTAGTTACCCAAATGGCCCTGTTTGTTTCTGTAAAAAAGCATCAGCAAAAACGTCTCTCAATTGCACAAGCAGCATCCAGGTCTTCAGTAAGTTTCTGCAGACTCGATGTAGTTTAGGACAATCTGATTGGCTGTGCCGCATTCAATATCCGCTGTAAAATCCACGATATAGCACACCTAACTCTTGACATGAAAAACCCTTGTGCTGTTAATGGACTCTCATGCTGCTCACATGGATCACGGAGTGTACTTATGAAGTAAGAACCCGTTTTTTGTTTAAACTGAGGGCTGGCAACTTATGTTCTTTACTAGAACTAGGCTGGTCAGCTAGCTAACAGGCTAAAAGAGCCAACAGGCTAAACAACTCCATCATTAATATCACAGGCTTGGATTAAAGTACTTACGATGTGATTAACTGTAAAACGGCAGTACAAAAGTCTGAAGAATGTCACTTGAATGTCTTACACACTTCAAATGTTCGTGTTTCAGTCAGAAGTATCGTCAAAAAGGCTGAATCCCAAAAGGCTCCATACTCCCTAAATAGTGTTCTAGCTATGAAAGTTTAGAAATTCTAGCCTCTACAGCCAAATAGTGCATCATTTATCGAGCGTGGATGTGGCTGAATACCAAATGACTATTTCTTAGCTGTATTTTGCTCTGTTGGGCTGCAGGATCCAGTATGTAAATTCCTATGTAGTGCACTGTGTAGGAAGCAGGGAGCCATTTGAAATTCAGCCCCAGCGTGAGCAGAAGGGCAGTGCTGGATTGGTGCTAAATAAGACTTGCGGTGTTAATTTAGTGACCAACAAGTACTTATAAAGCAAAGGTTTTGCATTAAACAGTGCTGGGTTATCATATGTTCGTTGGTATATGACAGAAAGTTAAAATGTTCATGAAATGAACAACCAATTGTTCTTCTCCCATTCAGCAATCCATGGTTGCTTGGTAACGATTCCAAATTCTAAAGGAACAATATTTCTTGGAGGAATACTTGTTTATGTTAATTACTATTAATAATAACTTAAATTATTTTCTAAAACAAATTGTGTATTTTATCATATTTTATGTTGGCCACTGTTTTATAAAGGTAATAAGCCACCTGAGTCTCTGTGTTTCTGCAATTTTATCATGGGAAAGGGATTTTCAGGCACTCCACTGCCTAAGAAAACCCTTCCAGTGATAAAATCGGAGTAACACACAGACTCAAGTGGCTTATTGCTTATTACTGTGAACTATTGGGTGACTATTGGGCTCTAGTGTTTGTTAGCAATGTTAAACCTGCCGCTCCAGTTCTGAACTAAAGAAGGAGAATTTGGACTCCAAGCATATCTTGGCCAATCGCCTACATCTGGAGTCAATGGAAAATTGTGTACATTTTATTTTTCGCTGAATTATTTCTTTAAGCTGTTCTGTGCAGGATGTTTTATCAAACTGCACCTTTTCACTATATTAACAGTGAACTACCATGACCAACATCTGCTTTTTAAAGTAAATAAAGCACTAACTGCACAGCTCTTTAGTTCAACTGTAAACACTTTTAGGAGGTTTTTATACACACACAGCAGCCAAACGAGCGCTAGCTTACTGTGGGTATTTATTTCTTTTCCGACCTCAAACAGCTGAGCAGGTAGGGAAGCATGATTCCGAGCTCCCAGTTGTCATGAACGTGGTATAAATCATCACGCATTCTGGCCCCGTTTTTTTTTTTTACATGCCCTTGCCAACTTCATCTCACCACTCTGAAGTGCGTCAGTCCTGTGATACACAAGTGGCCACTCACGCTGCAAGGATAAGAGGGGACAGGGAAGAGTGGACTGTTCTGTTGGAACACACTCACCCTCTGCTTAGTGAGCTAATTGGCTAGCCATGCAAATTCAGTAATACAAAATGGTTTTTGAGGTATCTGAACATAAAGTACATAACTTTCGTGGATAATTGCTTTGTCTGGCTGTGCACTTTGCTTTAAATCTGTGGTGTGTTGGCTTTTTTTGTTAGCCAGCAGATTAAGGTAATGAAGCTGTATCAGCAGTCATGCATTACAGATGGAGTAGTTTGCTACCTAAAACCCGTTCTGAACATAGCAAAACGAATGTTATTTGAAATATTAAGCATTTGAAAGGATTTTCTTACTATGGCTAATAAACTATAAGCTTTGTCTGCCATTTTTTTGGAAAAGGAAATGACTTTCGGGCAAGCTGTGCTGCTGAAGTCGTCACCTTGTGTTCACTCTGTCTCACGCCCCTCCGAAAGCTAACTATCACCCTTCACTAGAGCTAATACAGTAACGAAATGGCCCTTAAGATGGCGTCGGGATTCTCCTGAGGGGAAATGGTGAGGCACAGTTGGCGAGGGCAGGTTAAACAGTACTGGAACTAGCTGTATGATGAGTTTTTGAGTTGTCGAGTTGTTAAGAAATCTCAAAATAGACTAGCTTATGTGGTTTCTGATATGCTGTTTAATTATAAAAATGGACAAAAGTATGGATGTAAATTCCGGCTTTAAGATGGCCACTACTATTGTCTCTGAGCTAGGCGATGTACTTTTGTTCATTTGTCCATTACTTGTTAGCAACATTAGCCTTGTACCTCCGGTGTAAAACTTAAGAAGTAGATTCCAGACACCAACCTTGCCTTTGACTGATCGACTACATTTGGAGCAAGTGGGAAAATTATGTAAATTTGGATTTTTTTTGCCAAAAAAAAACGATTCATTTATTTAAATTTTTTGTGAGCATGCGCACTCTTACATTATTTTGATATGAATGTCTGAGTACAGAGCTACATATTCATCTCAGAGAAATAATGTAACAGTGTCCCTTTACAGTTGAATACAGTTCATTTGAATAACCAAGTGTGAGAGATTATTAGAACGATTTGTGACCATGCTTAAGTAGTAGCATTCAGATCAATCCAATCAAGATTTTAAAAGAGAAATGTATTTTATTTTTCATTGGTAGTGGATGAATTAGCTTGTGTTGTTGTCTTCCTTTAGGCTGAGCTGACCTTCTGTGCTGGGGATGTGATAACGGTGTTTGGGGAAATCGATGAAGATGGGTTTTATTATGTGAGTACAGTTTTGTGTCACCTATGTGTATTTTACTTCATATTTTATATTTCAGGACTTAATGTGTGGTTGAAACTAGGCTTGGACCTGGTGGTGGTTAACCATGGTAACTGCCCCTAGTAACGGTAAAAACATTATTCAGTTATTGATTATTTTCATGCAAACCATAACAAGACACTAGTATTACCCCATGTGGACATAACCGAACCTTGAAACGTGTAGGGTGATGTGATATCCTACATTAATACCACATTAATTGTGCCTAACATGGGTAAGATGGTTGGAGAAATGCGACTGTGCTCAGTGCTGCAGCTCTCGTACAGTCTAGCTAAGCCAGAATCCCCTTATTTGCCATCCTTGTGGAGAATAACCACGTTACAGTTAAACTGGGGTTGGAGTGGGTATTTTCCTTTGCTTTACCTTTTATTTGACAAAGATTAGAAGAAGTAGTAATTGGATGCATGATCTGTGATGCATCAGCAGGTGTGTTTTCGAGTCCATCCGGTGAGTTTTAACCCTCTCAGGTCGACAAAGTCAAAGGACGTCGTAGATAAAAGGAAAACAATAATTTGTGAATGCTGCATGCTAGAGATGTACTTTCATTTTGCCCGGAAGGGTAGCATTGTTCCAGCGACGAGTCAGGAACGCAGCCTCTGATTGGTCGACAGACTCAACCCAAGGCGTCAGAGGATGGCTAACAGCCCTGCTAACAACGACAGTAACTCTTCCAACACGGAAAAACGGATAAATAATCTCAGAAGACATTCAGTGTTGGATTTGTGATCATGGATTTATTCTATAAAGTCTCCACAAAAAAGCCGGGATGAGGATGGCATGCCCACTCCAGGTAAGGGGAGAGGATCTGCCCCAGGTGGTAGAGTTTAAGTATCTCGGGGTCTTGTTCACGAGTGATGGGAAGAGGGATTGTGAGATTGGCCGCAGGCTGGGACAGGCGGCAGCAGTAATGCGGTCACTGTACCGGACTGTAATGGTGAAGAGGGAGCTGAGCCATAAGGCAAAGCTCTCTGTTTACCGGTTGGTCTACATTCTGACCCTCACCTATGGTCATGAGTTGTGGGTAATGACTGAAAGAATGAGATCCCGAATACAAGTGGCGAAATTAGCTTTCTTCACTAGGTGGCGGGCTACACTCTACTTGATAGGGTGAGGAGCTCGGCCATCTGGGAGGAGCTCGGAGTAGAGCCACTACTCCTCCACATTGAGAGGAGCCAGTTGAGGTGGTTCAGGCATCCAATCAAGATGCCCCCTATCTGGAGATGCTGGACGCCTCCTGGAATGAGCTGGAGGAAGTTGCGGGGGACAGGGTCGTCTGGGATTCTCTGCTCTCCCAACTGCTACCGTGACCCTATCTGGACTAAGTGGTTAATGATGAATGAATGAATGAATATGAAAGTCTCCAAAAACACAGTGCAGTTCAAGCCTGGATTACAATTTCTTTTATGTACGACACGCTTTGATGTCGCATGCATCAATGCTGACTTGAGAGGGTTAATGCAGTGCGATCTAAGGGGTCGTAGGTCATGGGAATTTCAGTTGTGGTTTTTGGCCTTGCCCTTTATGAGATTTCTCCAGATTCCCAGAATCTTTTGATGATATTTTGTGCTGTATAGGGTGAAAAACCTAAGATACTTGCAATTCCTCCCCGAGGAGCATTATTTTTAAAGTGTTCGATATGTTTCTGAAGCATTTTTGGCAAAGTGTTGAGCCTCAACCCATCCTTGCTCATAAAGGACCCTGTCTTTCCTGGATGCTCTAAGCATGATTACATCAGCTGTTACAGATGTTTTGAATATTCTTAGTCTTAAATTGCTTCTCTTCCAACTTTTTTGGAACATGTTGCAGGCTTCCATTTCGGAATGAGCCTATATTTACAAAAAAAAAAAGTTGATAAGATAAAACTACATATTAGATGTCTTGTCTTTGTACTGATGTTGTTCAAATACCAGTTAAAGTGATTTATAAATCACTGCATTCTGTTTTTATTAGCATTTTATCTGTTGTCCAAACTGTTATGGAATTGGATTTGTAATATAATAATAATAATAATAATAGTCCTCAAGTCCTCCTGGCAAAAAAAAATGTCCAGTTAGTTGCCTAGAAAAAAGCAAGTAACAACAGTTGGCTGTTGAGGAGCGAGATATCTGGGATCTAGCATCCACTGAGATCCTCCCTGTAATCTCCACCAATGGGCTCATCTCCAAAGATCTGATCCACAAAGAAGCTCCTTCTCCAACCCCATCACTTACGGACAATGCGGAAGGTGGTGATCCTGTTTTAGTCTGACTTTCTGGTCAGGAAAAGTCAGGTTTCACTCTAAGCGAAGGTTATTCATTCAAGTGAGTTGCCTGGGAATATCCGTTGTGCAACAGAAGTGAAATTTAGTTTTTTGGCTTCAGGTTTCAATCAACCAGCCTGAGGATTTCCCTAATACCAGTCCAGAGGGAGTATGTTGTTGGGTTATTGGGTCGGTGGTGGCACATGTTCTCCTCTGTGTTGTCTCTTAGGGAGAGTTGAATGGACACAAAGGCCTGGTGCCCTCTAACTTTCTGGAAGAAGTGCCTGATGATGTGGAGGTTTACCTCACAGAGCCCCCCAGCCGGCATCCCCAGGACCACCCTGGCCGGACAAAGACCAAAAGGGTACACCCCGTTTCACACCACTAGCCCTCTGTCATCCATCCGCTCTCGTTCTCTCTCTATCTCTCTCTTTTTTACCTTCCTTCTTTCTATGCGCTTTGTTTTTTTTTCTGTTTCGTGTTGTGTGACAGCTGTTTTGTTTTTGTTTTTTTTTTGTTTTTTTTAATTCGGTGGATCGTTAAAGAAATAAAGAAAAAGAGATTCAGAGATGTGCCACCCACCACCCTACCACTTCCAAGAAAAAAATGCTACTAATGTTAAAAATGTGTATGAAAGACTTAAAGGCGATTGTGTGTTGAAAATGGTGCGATATTCATAAAGCATTGTTTAAGAGAAGCCATGTACAGAAGGGTGTCAGATGACTGACATTGTTTATGGTTATTACTTGTAAAGCTTGGGGGGAAAAAAAGCACCAGACTTTTAATTATTTTTGACTCATATTAAGCATTGTAATAGATGCTTTATGAATATAAGTGTGTTTGACCTGAAAATAACATTTATAATAGAGGAAATAGTTTTGATGTACAGAGAGATGAAACCATGTAGAGCTGTAGAAGTGCATGCCCCTCCTTTCAAAATGCTTGATTTCCTCCGTGAACATTTTTTTATATCATTGCAAAAGATTGAGACCAGTAAAAAAAGAAAAAAAAAAGAAAAACCTTTTGTATATGTTTCCAAAGGAATTGTTCTTTTGTATATTGCTGATATTTAACTTCTGACTTTTGAGCTTGCACACAGTCACAAATGTAAGTAGAGAGAGAGAGATCTATACTTTGAGAAGTGATTTTATCTATAGATTTTAAGAGTAATGTAGGTACTGTGTTATGGTCTATGAAAAAAAAGAGAAAACAATAGAGGAAACTGCTGTTGATCACTGTTCTGCTCAACAGGACTGCTCAGAGATTTCTCCTGTAACCTTACTTTCTGTGATTAAGTTTCTCTCATTGTTCATTGTGCAGGCTGTTGAGATGCATTTGCGTCATGCCGTTGTTGTTTTTTTTGTATTTCTTTTTCCTTCACCCGCTTGGCAAACCAGAAGAAGAGCGTTCATTTCACTCCGTAACGGCTCAGTACACCTCACGTAAGTGAGCGACTGAGGATACCAAACGTAACGCTGTCCTCGTCTAATGCAGATGACATGGGCCCCCTTTACTGTTGCCCCCTGGTACGCAATATGCATGCATACAGACACTGACACGAACACACATTAGTGAATGCAGTACGAACAAGCGGTACAGATACATAAACTAGTAAATGCAGCAAAAGTCAGTGGCGTAGTCGCCCCGGGCTTTGGAACTGGGCCTCCTTAATCTGAGACAAAACCAGCTGAAAGGTGAGCCAAGGGTACTATGATATAATGGCAGAATGATGTATGATAAAATTAACTATAAATAGTATAAATGATGTATAAAACACCTCAATACTCAGACTAATTTGTGCTACACAATATACTCAGAGAAGCATATTGTGATGTAATTTATCACAATGACAATAAATAGAGTGATATTGACCACCCCTAGTATAACATATCAGTAGAGGGTTTTGATATTAGCCTATACGAATTAGCCCTCATACTATGGGAGAAGAACCTCACTGTGCTCAACACAAAGCTCAGCGCACCTTCAGCGCTGACACAGTGGCTGGTAACATTCAAACGTCTTACATTTGCTTATTATAGGTCAGTTATGCACTGATAGGAAGCAGAGACAGTTATAGATTGACAATATAAGAAGCCAAAGCTAATCACGGGGCCCGTATGCAGGTGTATACCCTGCGCACCCGGACGCTACACCACTGAATACATTCAAAAAACCTCTGTGGTATCAGCCAGTCAAGCATCAATCATGTAGCGTCAGCTACAGTATCCAACATTACATTCCCAAGTGCAGCATGATCAGCGTAGGAACTGTCAGAAATATACATTATGACTGTTATTATTTCATGTTACATAAATTACAGTTCAAATGTTTGGAATCAGTTGTCATATTAATAACATATAAAATGTATAAATGATAAATGATATATAAATGATCATTTATATAAAATGCAAGTGTGTATATTATAAATATACATTGTAACTTTTTATTATATTTATATTTTATTATAAACTAGTTGATGAAGTGTATTTTTAAATATTAATAATAATAATAATAATAATCAATATTTCATGTATTTTTGAGCACAAAGTCATTAAATTACAAGTAATACACTATGATAACCTGTTTACAGTCATTTTTACACAAATGATCTGCCTCAAGATTCAAAAAGTGAGACATTCTGGATATTCATGTTATTTTAACTTGATTCTCAATGCTGTACCACTTTCTTAGTTTCTCAGTCGGTTAAACCTCAGATTAAAATTGACTTTGTTTACCTTGTTAGTTCATGTCATATATCAGTAACACACACAATTCTTGTGTTCCAGTAATCTTACATCAAAATGGTACATCTTACATCTAAAATGGCTTCTGGTCTTTGATTACATCATCATGCACTGTTGGGTGGGGAAAAATAATATTAACCAATCATATCTTGTTTCACCTCTTCCCACCCCAACCTATCACAGAGAGAAAATGCTCAGCTAGCTCAAAGACCCTCCCTGATACCGTGTTTCACTCACAGTCATGTCAAGGTTTGGCTGTTTATAATTTTTTACATTTCTAAAATATCATAATTTGTTCATCACTTGCACAGGATGGATATCAGAATAATTTTATGCTAGTTTTACATTACATATAACACTGATTCCAAACTTTTGATCCATGTTGTACACACACACACACACACACACACACACACTCAAAACAGTCATAAATACACCCTCTACTGGTTCATATAATTAGTCTTATTGCTACTTCACATTTTCTGACCCCCTGCCCTCCCCCCCTTCCCTCCCTGCCTGTCTCTACGGAGCAGCTCAGAAAACTGTGATTGGTCGACTGCAGTAACAGAAAGCTGTGATTGGTCGGCTCCAGGCAACAGGCGCCCAGTGCCAGTGCATTAGACGGGCTGAGCTGGTATCTTCAGTTGGTTCTCTGGGTGTTGTACATTACAGTGTCCGTCTCATTGACTCCTACTGTAACTCATGGCTCAAGCTACACGGCCGTTGTTGCACGACAAAGGTCCGAGTTTGACCCCTGAACCCTTCACCTCCCCCCCAAACCCCACCCCTCTTCTCTCTTCTCTGCGGTGTGCAGTAGTGCTGGCGCCCCGACAGGGACCAAACCCTCCCCTCCCCTCGAGAAGCTGCGCACCCCCAACATGTTCCTTTGAGACAGAATCAACACCAACTTTTTGCTCCGCTCACAAATGCAAGAATTTGTTGCTGCTGTTGCCAGGTTGGACGCAGAGGCATAGCCAAGGGGTGGTCAGGTCAGGTCAGGTCAGGCCAGTGCCACCCTAGCGGCCTAGTGCACAATTTCTATTTGCTGAGTTTAACATATTGGACAAACATAAAATATTAAATGTGTACAGGCTTTTATGTATTTTTATTTGATGTTTTTTGTTTGTTTTTTTTTAGAATTTGTTAAATTCAGAAAATAAATAGTAATTGTACACTAAAACTTACTTTTGTGTTATTATTTATGGTAGGCAAGATTGCTAACTGCTAGGTTAGCTGCACGGCTGATTGCTGCTGCAGCTGCCAGTCACACCACTGCCTCCACCCACTACCTTCACAACTGAGTGGTCAGCGTCTTCTTGTAAGCATATAATTATCTGGCACAATGTATAGTTGGCGAGTTAGCTCTCTTTCTAAATGCACCAAGATAAAGACAGAGAATTGTTTCTGTTGCTGGTTGTTCCCGGTCCGGCTTTGGTCACAGCATGCAAAACCTTTCTATATTATTTGGTATTATTAACATATTTTGAGTTGTGCACTACAGTTTCACATTCATTTGAATACATTATTGCTAACTTTCTGTAAAGCTTGTCCAACCTCGCAAATGAATTCGCTTGTGGGCGGAGCATGAAGTGGTCAGTTGACCGACTGTACTGCTAAGGTGTTTGTGGCTGGCTGTTACTTTAACGAAGCATGTGTGAGGTGCACTTTTTCTCAAAGGAATGGTGGGCAAACACAAAATAACATTATTTTCATCCCTAGCGAGTAGAACTGCATTACCAGAGTTTGTTATTTTAAGTGTCTGTTCATTTTAGAGCCTTTTTTTAGGACTACATTGTAAATTAAGTGTTTTTAAGCAGGTTTGATTTGGCTTCAGGTCCCTTGGTGACGTAACCATGCCCGAAAGGTGATAGATTACATCAGAGACTGGTAAATTAAAAACTCATCTTTTCTCTTTATCATTCATTTAATAGACTGTGTACGTGATATAGTGACAGCTAAACAGCTAAATGGCTAAGATCTGTCGTTTTTGCCCATCTGTAATCCAGCTGTATGTGAATGTTTTTTTTTTCAGGGGGTCAGTAATGAATAGATTGTAAAAGTAGACATGAAAACTGTTTAGAAGAGCATTTCTAGTAGCAAGAAGCACCTTTTATGTATTTTCAATCTTTCTCGATTGCATCGTAGCATCTGTGTTTAAAAAAAACAAACAAACACCTTTTAATGAAGGGCAGGGGAACGTACCTTAGCAAAGCAGAAGCATTTCTTTCACCTAAATTGGACCAAAATGTAGCCAGAGCTGTTATGTGGAGTGGATTTCCCCTGATTGTGTACACCGTGTGGTTTGTATATTTCCATTACCCCCCCCCACACGTACTGTATGGTGGGCCTGCTGGGACAGAAAGGACTTTGAGGGTTGGATGTGCAGTGGTGACGTTGGGATGCTGTGAGAAAAGAAACTTTTTATGCCGCCCAGCCCTGAACTGTCCCTTACGGGTCTCCCATTAGGTTCCCGTGGAAAAAGCGGGGGGCTCTCCGAGACGAAGCGCCACACACACAGTGCGGCCCCAGGGGCCCGGAAGCCCCGCCCCACGACGGCCCCAAACCATCCCTAAGAAACAAGGATTGCTCTCCAGAGGAAAGAAACTGTTGAAAAGGTTCGGTGCTGTGAAATAGGGTTCAGTGCTCCGCCTCCTTCCATTCCGGTTAACGGTGTATAGACTGTAGACCCAGTCTGGCAAAGCGAGGGGACAAAATCAAAGAAACACCCTCCCATCTTTCTTCCATTTCTGTTAACCTCTTGAACCCTAGGCTTATTTAGACTCCTTATTATTCCATGAAGTCTATACGTTTTTCAGCAAATATGAACGTTCTGTGTTGTGGGCCCCAGATTTGGGTCCAGTGAGGGGGACCAACATTGAAAGGCTGTAGTCTACATACAGTACTATCGCCACATAAGGTGCAGATTTCATGTGTAAGTCTAGGTAAGTAAAGTACGAGTTACCATATTCACGTTTCAATAGTAAAACACAAAATCAAGCAGCATTATAAACAGGAGTGACATGTGGATGTAGTGTAGATAGATTAACTTTACATGATAATTATGCCATGAAGCTGTTATACTGCATTAAATTGAAGCTCACAACTTGGAATTTCCCACCTCCAACTAAGAAAAATAAAAGAAAACGCTCCCTCAGCTGTGAATTCCTGCTCGGAAAGTGCTCCAACCTCAGCGTATGAAGTCAAAGCAACATGGCTGCTTACATCGTCAATGGTAATAAAGAACCACTTCTGCTGCTTTAAATAATATTCGTTTTAGATCACTCAACATGTGACCACAGTAGTAGGTTCAAATATAACATTGACCATAAAGTTCAGTTTGAGAAGGTAAATACATCATGACTGTGTAAGTTATCACTCATGTCACTAACGTTAGCTGGCTAGCTTGTTGCTAACAGCAGGTTGAAAATGACACAATTCCAAGCTTCGTTTCCCACTTCCGAGCAAAGCTGAATACAGCATTATGCCACCTGGTGCACTAAGTGCTGCTGCACACCGACAGAGACTTTTATTTGGCACAGCTCAGTAGGCAGTGCCTTTTCATTTTAGCTTGTAATGAAAATGCAGCATGACTGGTGTGGGAAGTTTAAAGGTGCAGTGTGTAAGATTGGGGGAACTATTAGCACAAATGGAACATATTATATAAAACCGTGTTTTCATTACTGTACAACCACCTGTAAATCACCTATTAGTACGAATCATTATGTTTTCGTTAGCTTAGAATGATCCTCTTCCAACAAAAGCTGCCGTGTTTCTACAGTAGCCCAGAATGGACAAACTAAACACCGGCTCTGAAGTGGCTGCCGGTAATGGCTAATTATGTGTTGTGAGAATTTTGACAAATGGAGGATCATGTTGTTTAGCACAAGAAGAAGCAAGGAATGGTGAATCCTTGAAGTGAAAACATGATGGCAACCAGAGGTTCTACTACACACTTGGAAAGGGAGGGGTGAGGGAGGGGTATTCAGTTGGTTGCAAACTGCAGCCTCACTGCTAGATGCCATTAAATCTCACACACTGCACCTTTAATGGAAAATATTATCAATAATATAAGCCATGTACGTTTTTTCAACAACCAGAAAACTGTAAAAAAGTTGGAGGGACATGTTGCCCTTGGTCCCCCTCTCTTAATTTGCACCAGTGGTGGGCCCACATGCAGACCCTTAGGGTTTAAGGGGTTAATTTAAGGTTCATTTTTGGCATTGAAATGGAAAAGAAGAAAAGGAAAATGGTGGAAACTGGGGTTTTCATGACCACAGGCCAAACTAGTCGATTCTTATACCTCGTTTTCTGTTTGCGTGTCCTCTACCGCAAACACAGAGACGCTACAAAACGCTACAGAACCTCTCAGTCTTGAATGTACAGTCATGAGTATGGAGTTGGGAGAGACTTTTCTCTGGGATTGTGAGCTCTGGCTTTGATCACATGATCTTTATTATGCAGTATGACGATAGCAGTAACGAATCTCAAAACATTTTCTATGATCAGAACCTAAAAAACGCTTTTAGCACATTACACGGCATCCAAAGGCCTCAAGATGGGAGAACGCTACAACTTGATATTAGCACAAGTTATTACGGGTTTAGCACAAGTAACAGGTGGGTTTTGGAAGCACTGTGGATAGAATATGTATGGATTTCCCTACACGGAGGGAAAAAAATGAAATACTAATGCACCCTGCCACTTTTGACTAGTTTCCCAGTTTTGGGTGGTCATGAAATTCCTAGTGGGGCTCAGCCCCCTCATATTTGCCTTATAAAATGCACAGTGGTTTGTGTGGCGGCCAGTCGGGCGGGTGAAATTTGTCTCGTTTGTACTGTGTGCGTTCGTGTCAATGCTTTCTGTTCATGCAAACATACTAAAAAAACTGTTTCAGTGTTGTGCTGCTTACTGCAAAAACCTCACAAAGAGTCGAAGGCTGGAGGTTTGGAGGGGAAAGGGGTGGGATTCATGCCTCTAATATGTAAATCAGACCAAACTATTGATTTCCAAGCCAATCAGGGGGGGATAATTTGAATCTTTCGCAGTTGTAATTTTTCTCCAAAATGTAATGCTAGCATTAGCATCAAGCTTTTTTTCTGTAGAACTGATGTGACGTTCTGTGCTGATGAACGACTAAGTCATTTCTGTTGACTTTCCCAGAAGACATTAGAGTTGTGAATGTAAGGCCCAGAGGCATTTCCAACCTCTCAGAGCTACCATGTCAGGATGGGATAACTAGGTACTCGTGCTTGTACTGTATTTCCTCCTTCTCTCTCTCTCTCTCTCTCTCTCTCTCTCTCTCTCTCTCTCTCTCTCTTTCTCTCTCTCTCTCTCGCTCTCTCTCTCTTCTAAAAGAATAATTCCCACTCTCTTTTTCTCTTCCTCATTCCATCGTTTCATTTTGCACTTTGTCTGAACGAAGATTCTAACATAAGTGTTTGGAGTGAGACTGCCAAAAAAAAAAGGAATGTATGAAACATTCTGTATATCTTGTACAATTTTCAGCCAAAATAATAGTCATCAATATAGTTTATTTTATATATATATATATATATATATATATATATATATATATATATATGTGTGTATAATTTTTTTTTTCAGAGTCAGGAAATCATACGTTCTCAAGCATTGCTTCTACATGTTGTTTGAGTGACTTGCTCTTTTTGTACTTTGTCCATTTGTACATTCTTTTTAAATGTTTATACTTGCTTTTCAGACTGCCTTTTTTGTACATTCAACTTTATAATCTGACAGTGCAAGCTTTCCTCACGGTGTCTTCGAAAACCATAACGTTTTAAAGTCTGCAAACTGTGTGCTAGCTTTATGGAAAAAGAAATAAGCCTATATTGGTGATTATATAATATTGTGTGGGTGTGCATGTGCAAATTTTTTTAAAAATCGAAATAAATTTGATATTTTGTACACACTGATGGTGTGCTCTTGGTTTGTTCCGAGTGTGCCGAACTGAGCGTTGTTGTTCCCTTGTTCCACCACTAGAGGGCACCAAGCGCCTGAGGTGAGCGACTGTCAACGTGCCTCAAACGCAAAAGTCCTAAAATGTAGATTTTCCCCAAAACATATCTTCAAATTATATGTTCAGAAATACATTTTAAGGGGTTAAAATGTACATTAAAGTGTAAACAACAGGAGTAGCGTTAGTCAGTGCATTGCATCCTCGCTTCTCTCTTTTTTCTACATTTTTTTAAAAACTTCACTCAGATTTTTAAAAATGAGGTTCGCTCAGATGACTTTGGATCAAAGTCCTGTAGATCAGTCACTCAGTGACGTTGTATTTTCACGACGTAAATGAAATGCATTGATAGATGTACACGACCAACTGCAGCCCAACCGGCCTTTTTTTCCCCACCCGTTTTGCGACAAGACCCGCCCGCCGGTGCTCTAATTGGCTTGGTTATTATAGGACGTATAGGATGTTTATTATAGGATGTTTTAGGCTTAAACACCGAATTATCTAAATTTCTGCTTAAATGAATAAATAAAGTCATTCAGAGTGGTTTGTTGTGAAATGCTCCCTTCTAGAGAAACCTAACAAGTCAGAATTATTCACAGTGGTGGTGATAGGAACCAGACGTCCACCTCTAAAATCTCCCTCACATGAAATGGTTGTGAACATATGGACAGGCTGCCTGATGTCTGAGACATTGCTACATTGTTTTATGATAGTTTTGTGAAAAGTCTTGGCCAAAAACATATTTCTTTTAATCTATTCATGGAGGAGGGATACATAAAGGGCGTTATGAGGCAATACATATACATATATATATATATATATATTTTTTTTTTTCAGTTTTACCAGTATTTTACCATCATCATCATTGCATATAAAAGCTCCAAAGACACATGTAGGTTCATTGGTGGTTTTGGATAGTAAATAAAATGGCTATATTTGTGACCCTGGTTCCTAACACCACCCCTGTGAAGTAACCTCAGTCTGTGAGTTTCTCTACAAATGAACCATTTCACATCAAACCACTGAATGACTTTGTTTACATCTCAACCACTGAACTATGCAGATATTTTGAAAAATCGGTGGAGTTCCCCTTTATGCAGGTTTATTTTTGCCTTCAAAGTGCCTTGATAACTATCATATGTAATACGTTAGAGACTATGTATGTTAAATATTCATTGTTGTGCACATTTCTCTGTTCTCCTATTCTGTTTTGAATGCACTTAATTTAAGCAGGAGAGTATTTAAATTACAGCTGGCTTAGTTTTAGCAGTCATAAACAGGCAAAATATGACGGCTGACATTTATGTGCCCTTCTGTATAATGCACTATTCTCCACTGTACGGAACGTCATTTTGTTTGTTTGTTTATGTGTTTGTTTGTTTCAGTATCGACAACAAAATGAAAAAAAATATAAAAACTATTAAACTACTATAAAAAAAGCAGTAATAATGTTTATATTTTCTCTATTTTATTGACAAAAATCTCTTAGATGGGTTCAAAACAATGCGAAGTCGCTGTTCTGCCTAAATTAAGTCGTATTTTACTATTAAAATGACGTTTATTTACAGATTCATTTCACTCGTCCAGCACAACCGTGCCGCCCGTTTTGCGAAAAGTCCCGCCCTCCTGCGCTAGGATTGGCTGAGAGCTAGTGGGCGGACCCTCGCGAGTATGATCTACTAGTCTATCGCAGGGAGTTTGTCGGAATACGGGTGGAAGCGGGATCTAGTTGGCCAATCGTAGCGCAAGAGGGTGGGTTTTGACGGAATACGGGTGGGGAAAAATAACGGTCACATCCCACTCACAGCAAAGCGCGAGCCAGTTTGTCAGTTAACTTTAACGATAACGCTCTTCGCTTCTAGCTAACCGAGTTTTTTGTAGGTTTTTGTGAACACGATGGATTAAAACTACCAGGATAAAGTGGAAAACGGAGCGTAGAAGTGTTACAGGGCGGCTGTGTTTTGTTTAGTTATTAGTGTGATGATTAACAACGTTTTAATCGCACACAGTAAAGTTTTGTGTGAGCAGGTTTAGCCTATAAGTTACCGTTAACGCTCAATGGCTCGCGCATGGTCGATGCTCGCTGCATAGCAACACATTTTTCCCATTAAAAACCTTTCTTTTTTTAACACCATGGACTTTTTATACAGAGTTTTAAACTTATCCTCTCTTGTGAGTGTCCTCCAGGTAAGGTCTTCATCTGTACTTCTCCTCAGGTAACGCCAGACTGTTCTTCAGGTCAATATGTTAACATACAGTCAAGGTTTGAGAGAAAAAATGCTGTGTTGTTTTAGGAGTTTGGTGTTTTATATTCGCAGGTTCTCGGTGACAGTGTCGTACCGTCCAAGCATCCAGGTAACACACGAACAATAAATGACCTTTTTTGTCAGTTTGTATGGGTCTAAATTTCGATAAAGGTACACTTTGTAAAAAAAACTGGTTCCTCAAGTAAAGAGAAAGGTTCTATTTAGAACCATTTCATGCTTACATAGTTCTTTGCATGGTGAAATTGTCTTCAGATTGTTGGAGAATGTGTTGTAGAAGAACCTTTTTGAAAACGGTTCTATATAGCAGCAAAAAAGGGTTCTTTTCTTGTTGCAAGTTTAACATCATAACAATAGCAGAACGCTTTTTGGTGCTATGTAGAACCATTTTCAAAAAGGTCCTAAATAGAGCCATATGCCACAGATTCTCCATCAATCTGAAGAACCATTTCACCATGGAAAGAAGCCTTCAATCATGCAAGGTTTCTGTATAGAACCTTTGTGAAAATGGTTCTGTGTAGCACCAAAAGGGTTCTTCTATTGTTAAAAGCTTGACATCGTAACCATATCAGAACCCTTTATTGTGATATGTAGAACCATTTTCAAAAAGGGTCTATATAGAACCATACACAACACAATCTCCACCAGTCTGAAGAACCATTTCATCATGCAAAGAAGCTTTTTTTTAATCATAAAAAGTTTCTATGTAGGACCTTTTTGAAAATGGTTCTGTATAGCAGCAAAAAGGGTTATTCTCTCATTACAAGTTTAACATCATACCAATAGCAAAGCCCTTTTTGGTGCTACGTAGATCCATTTTCAATAAGGTCCTATGTAGAACCATATGCAACATATTCTTCATCAATCATCACCCATTTAAGCATGAAATGGTTCTGTATAAAACTCGTATTTCTAAATAGAGCATTCCTTTTCCTAAAGAGCCCTGAAGAACCATCTTTTTATAGAGTGTAGCTAACAATAAAATGCTTACTTGACTTAAAAAAGCATGTTACCTTAATCTGTAACAGAAATGTGATTAATTGAGATTGAACTATTGAAGTGTAACGTGTAGAAAGCCTGTATGTTCTACAGAGAGGGAACAAAAATGCAAGAAAAATGCAAAAAAGGCTGTTGACAGTTATTCCTTTTCTAAATAATGGGAAAGAAGGGATTTGAAAGAAGTGATTCTGCACCTAAGACTGTCATGACCTTATCATTTCTGTATATTTGCTGTAGTTTCTGCTGTAATGTTATGTTATTGTAATGCAATGGTATGGAAAGCAGAGCATAATTTCTGAATATAGCGTTGGCTTTTCCTTTTCATGTTTCTCAAACCCTAAAACTTGTCATATACAGACTTCCAGGGATATAACCGTTCTCAAAATTCATAATTCGGTTTAATACGATACGGTACTGTCTTGATTCAACACAGAAAAAATAATAAAATATGCTTTATAGTGCCCGATCTAATGCGCTAGCCCCACACCGATATGTTAGCTCTGAGCTAACGCACTTGCCATGTGCTAATAAGCTAGCCATGATACAACAATACCATCCCACACAATACAATACATCACGATAGGTCACAATAATTTACGGTGTGGTACGTTATGATACAATATGACACATTACAATACTGTACTTAAGCAGTAGAACAAGAAACAGAGCGTGTTATCACGAATGACACTCAAGTGTTTTGATATTATTCAGCGGCTCTGCAAAGTAAATAAAAAGTAAAACAAGACGCCACAAGTATTATTTAAAATGCTTTAAAATCAGCAAATCCTTCACCCAAAAAGTAGCATCCTTCTGCGCTGTAAAGTTGGTTTTATATTTAATGTTTTCTGCACATTCTTTCCTCAAACAACAAGAGATTATAAAACCTGCATTTTCTCGCTCTTAAAAGAGAGAGGGAACAAACAAATATATAAATGATTTTCAAAAATGGCTGTTAAATTACATTGAACATAAGAAAATGCAGATTATCGAGGTGTTGGTCTTTAGGGAACCATCTAAAGAGTGCATAACATAAAATAAGGCAAACTCGCATCAAATCACTTGAACAAAAGAGACCAGCTTCCTTTAAACCAGCTACAAATCACATTCTTTACTACAGGTGATTTATTGTGATTTTGCCTGCTTTTAGCTAAACTCATGGGGCATAAAACCTAAAAAGACGTCCACGCAAGGTACTGTACACACTTAAAACAGATTTTTAAGGGTTCTTTAGTAAAGAAAATGTTTCTATGTAGAACCACGAACACTCAAAGAACCCTTTGCATGATTGAATGGTTCTTTGCATCATGAAAGGGTTCTTCAGATTGATTGTAGATGATTCTATATAGACCTTTTTAGAAAAGAATTCTATATAGCACCAAAAAGTGTTCTTCTATTGTTACAAGCTAGAGCTCATACAAATAGAAGAACCTTTTTGGTGCTGTATACAACCCTTTTTTAAAAAGGTTCTATGTAGAACCATCTACAGCACATTCTCCATCAATCTGAAGAACCATTTCACCATGCAAAGAACCACTAAATCATGAAAAAAAATTTTTTTGAGTGTTTATAGTTCTAACCATTTTCTTTACTAAAGAACCCTTAAAGATCTTTTCTATGAGTGTAGGTGATCTCTTAATGACTAAAGTGCCAGTGATCTGTTTCCGAACCATTATAATCAGTGAAATTTATTGATGTTTTTGAAATATATTTAGGTTGTAGTTTGTTCTCCTGTGAGTGAAAAAGTGTAGGTTTGACCATTTTTGGTTGTTTAATTCATGAGGAATTGAGCAGAGAACATCCAGAAAACCAACTTCACCGCACTATCCATAACTTTTTAGTTAAAGTGCGTTTTATATTATATTCTGGGCTCCTTTGCTTTACTATTTTATTTATTTTGCAGAACTGTTGTATGAAAGCAGTAGAACACTTGAGATTGTGTGTTATCACAAATAACACGGCTGTGGTTTGATCATTTTTGGATGTGCATTTCATGGAAACTCGTGGAGAGAATATTGAATTTTTGCATATGTGCTTAAGTAGAACATGCACCCCTGCAGACTTAATATGCAGACTTAGTCTAAAACCTAGTAGACTACTTCAGTTTCTTAGTGCGTAGTCCAGCTTAATCACTAGTGAGTTATCAGATCTCTCTCTCTCTCTCTCTCTATATATATATATATACACACAAACCTGCAAATATAAAGTAATTTCTATTTGTTATTTCAAAATCTATGCTGTACTAAATCCAGTTAAACAATCTTAAATAAGCTCACTTTGTAATGAAACATATAGTGAGTCAGTGTGTTTTAAGTACTAATGATATCCACAGTATGCTCAGAAAAGCATATCGAGACATAATTTATCACAATAACATTAGAATATCGTCATGTTGCCCATCCCGAAAGCTCTGAGCCGGGTCATTTTCCTGCTTTTGAAGGTGTAATTCTTTCCCACTGTAAGAACATTTGGAAAGCAGTGGACGTTGTGGTTTTGGTTACTTGGAGTTCGTCGCCTAATCCTGAGGGCAAACAGTGCAGTTCCGTGCTAAATTGTAAATAACCTCCATAATCATATCCTCATTGAAATAAACAACCAAACCAGCCTGAATCAGGCCAGAGTAGGTAGAGCCAGAACATTTTCTCGAAACAGCGAGAATTTCCCCAACCTCCCCGGGGAAACACTATCAACAGCCTCTCCCAAACGCCTTACCCGCAGCCATTTTTCAACATGTGCTAAAGAGAACGTTGCAGATTTCCCGTGCTCTTCGCTGCTGTACAGCAATGAGAGATGCTGTCTCGTGCAGATATGCATTCTGGGCTTTTTCTCATTAGAACCACATGTCGAGTGTACATGTGAAGTCACTCTAACAGCATCAGTGCAGGATGCTCTGATGGTTCATGTTAGATATGTGAAATAACTCAGGTACTGAATAAGATCCTGTTATGTATGATCGTGCTTAGACAGTAACGATGCTCTTGTGCTGTCCTCAGGCCTGGATGTGCTGGCCACTGCCTCACACTACTGGCCCCTGGATGCGGTGGACGGACCACGTAGCCTGCGGGATCAGATTGGGAATAGAACAGGTCATGTTAATGGGAGTAATATAAGTATGTGCACCAGTTTTGGCTGAGCCACTTCCTCTGTTCTCTCTCTCTCTCTCTCTTTCTTTTCTCTCTGCCTCTCTTTCACCTATCTCTCTCTCTCTTTTCTCTTTTCCAACCCCCCTTTCTCTTCCCACTACTTTCTTTTTTTCCCTTATTATTTTTACAGCTTTGTTTAAATATGAACTCTTCTCTTTAGGTTCACTTGTCGCTTTTCCTCCTCCTTTCATCCTCTCCCTCTTTTTTCTCTGCCTCTCTATCTTTTCTCTGTCTCTCTTGTTCCTTTTTCTCTTCTTCTCCTTTCTCTCTCATTTCTGTCTCTCCTCTTTATATCACTTCTTCTCTTTTCTTTCTCTCCCTCATTTCTTTCTGTCCTTCTGTATTCTTTCTCTCCCCTTCGCTCTCTCTTTCTCTCTCTCTCTCTCTCTCTCTCTCTCTCTCTCTCCCTCTCCAGCTGTTGAGCATTTTTCTGCAGTCACGTCTTGCTGTGCTTATGCAGCTGTCCTCACTGCTTTCACTCGTTTGAGTTCAAGTTCAAAATGATGAACAGATATTATTTATGCTGTATTACCTCAGTGATCTGATGAAGATACTAAATTGCTTAGGGAGTGTTGAATGTGAAGACATTTATGTCAGCGATTCTCCACAAAACAGATGTATGGTTCTTGTTTTGTGTGTGTGTGTGTGTGTGTGTGTGTGTGTATTAGGTTTCCACAGAAGTTGTGCAGATTTGCAACGCTTGTCAGGCAGCTGTTTAAATGAGCTCAATAGACTCTATTCTGAATCTGCACTCACTAATGTAGAAGCCCCAGATTCTTTCAAGTGATTCATAGGAGAGACAGTTGTATCCTCTAATGGGGATGTAATTCTGTGTGTTTGTATAAAACGTGCTGTTTTCCCTTCACCCTGTAATTAGGAACAGTGAGATAGACTTTGATCGTCATGTCTTCTAGTTCCAGTATTTAGTTTGCACATCTGTGACTGCTGTAGTATTTTCCCATGTGCAACACCTAGCCATTTTGTGTGTGTGTGTAGTCCAGAGAAATTAACTATACTGTAAGTAGATGCATACACAGGTAGGTGGGTGGGGAGGTAGGTAGGTAGGTTAAAATTAAGCTACTGTTCAAATTACATTTGAATTGGTATATATTAGAAAATAGCTATACATGAAAGCACTTTTGGAGCTGAATTAGTTCTACCAAAGCAGTGCAGATTCATACTGGATTAAAATCAGTCCACAATTATTGCTGTCAGACTGTAAAGACTACACACACTGCAGATTCATATTTGATTAAAATCACTCCACAATTATTACTGTCAGACTGTAAAAACTACACACACTGCAGATTCATACTGGATTAAAATCACTCCACAATTATTACTGTCAGACTGTAAAAACTACACACACTGCAGATTCATACTGGATTAAAATCACTCCACAATTATTATTGTCAGACTGTATGTGACGTGTCAACAGAATTCAGACGCTCGCAGATGAAAACTAAAAACAGTGTTTTATTATCAGGTGACAAAAACATGGTCGAAAAACAAGCATGGGTCTTAATCAAAAGGCAGCAGAAGATCACCGAAGTGATCATAACTCAGGGCAGACAAAAACCGAGGGGAAAGTCGAAATCGTAGTCAGAAGGCAGGCAAAAAGGTCAAAACTCAAATCCAAAACACAATCAGCAGAGGTACCAAAAGGAGTAGGCAAAAATCAAGGTCAGTATAACAAACGTGGGTCAAAACAAGCACTAATAGACAGATCAGAAAAACACTCAGTAAGTTCCAAAGAAGCAATACCTCGCAAAGACCCTAACTAAAGCCCTGGGCTGATACACTATTCTCAGAGAGTCATATGACTCAAAACACAGGTGTTCATAGTTAATATTCGGGTGATTGAGAACACTGACAGGTGCGTGAACGATTGTCATGAGTCATGTGATCACCCAAGGGATTATGGGCAACGGAGTCCTCTCTGGACTCCGAGTCCGAGAGAAGTTGCTCATCCACGTGATTTCCCATGTCCTTCTGGGAAACGTAGCCCGAATCCGCCAGAGGCGTGACACTGTAAATACTACACATTGCAGATTCATACTGGATTAAAATCACTCCACAATTATTACTCTCAGACTATAAAACTACACACACTGCAGATTCATACTGGATTAAAATCACTCCACAATTGTTACTGTCAGACTGTAAATACTACACATTGCAGATTCATACTGGATTAAAATTCATCTGTAATCACTTAAACACAGTACCTCTCCAGGTGAAACTGATCCATCTCGAGTAGAGCTTAAAATGCTGCTGTAGGTTTACAGATATGTTCTTAATTTACATGTAATCTAACTTGAAGTAGTCAGCATCATAACTTTTTAAACGTGCGGGTGGAGATATACATATATTTACCATTCCAGATGAGACAATGGACAGAGTAACACTACTTTTAACTAAAGCAATTCTAGAGATGACTAGAAATAACTGTAGACTACTTATATCCAGTGATTGTCCATGCTGCACAGCTTGTACATGCATTGCATTTGTGAGTTTACCATTGATCATGCTTTGGTCACCCTGTTCACCCTGGTCTCCCTCTGCCTGTGTCTCCACCATGTCTCTGTGTTGTGTATGTAGCCATGTGCCTGTGCTATAAATCACTTGTGTTTTTGTCCTCTCTGTTGTGTTTTTTTCTCCACGTTTTTTTTTCTCTCCATCGCAGCACTAAGAATCCACAACCACACTGTCCTGCCTTACCATAACTCTTCCTCTGTGTACACCAATGACTCTGCCTACACTAACATTTCCGTCTCTGTAGGTGAGGATCCAGCACTCCTCCACTCTCCCCTAGACACCAGCACACACACACACTGTGCTCCATAGCCAGTCAGAGAACGTTAATGGAAGGACCTTTTTAAGCGTTTGGCAGCACTCTTTCTACAAAATTCAGTTTTAAACCATTCAACTGTAGTTTAATCCGTCCATGCTGCTCCCATAAATACATTCTTTCTTAGCTACAGTTGCTAGGTTGGGCAAACTTTACAGAATTTTAACTAAAATCCCATTCAGCCTAATGAGAAGCTGTAGCACACAACTCAGTTTTTGTCAAAGTACCGAAATTTATAGTGTGTAATCAGTTTCAAAGTATATTTTACATGATTGTGCAAGATGACAGTGTTAGGATAGATCATGTGTAGTTTTTGTATAACCTATTTGATTGAAAGGCAAAGCAGAAAGCACACTGACTCCAGCAATTTTAAAGTTGCTAGCTGATGTCTCTCCATTACTGACACTGACTTGATCTTTTATAGCTTGAGACAACATATGCTGGGGTATGTGGCAAGTACAAAGTGGTAAATGTTGAAAAATCTTTTAGAGTAATGCTGCAGTAGCAAATCACGTAATCTACAGTGTAGTGATGTTCATGATGATAGCTTGCAGCATTAAAAAAGCTAAACTTTTTACCTTTACTAGTGGGGAAATTGAATCTAATAGCACAGAGCTTGTGAACTGTAGATAAGTTAGACCAATCAGAGGTAACCAAACCTCCATGTGTTGTGACATCACAACCATAACTCACTGGCAGTTTGGCACATTACATTCAGGGGTCAATTGCAATTTAAAGTGCAGTCACAATATTGTAATAAGATATTTTCCCCAAATTGTTCCTGCCAACATGCTGTAAAGATTGTGCAACCTAACAGCAATAGCTATGAAAGAATGCATTTGTAGGTGGAACGCGGGCAGGTCAATTTAGTTAGTGAAATTCAGCTCATAATTCAGCTTAATGCAATCACAAGTCATTCTGTAATACATTTGGAGTAGGTAATAAAAAAAGACAAGATAAACTGAATTTACATTGTGGTTTTTATATCCTGAAGTTGGTTTTCAGTGGGTGTTGAATGTCTTTGAAATCAAAACCTTTAAGTTTATTTAAAGTTTATTTAGTTTATTGTAAATACAGAGGGCTGTAATAGTAATATCTAAGAAGGAAACCTTAATATGATTAATTCAGTGTGATAACATTTTTTAGCAGACATTTTTTAAACATTAGAACTGGGAAAGCTGTAGTTCTTCTTGGATTTACATTGAATCCCTCAGACTGGAGAAAGTTCACTGAAAGAACAATTTAGATATCACCATATTCTGTTGTCCAGCATTTCACACTAGCATGTTATATACTTTATCATACTCTATAGATGGATGTTGAACTCTCCCCCCTTCTTCAATTTTTCTCTCTTTTCCTCATCCTCATTGACGCTCCATCCCTTTCGTCCTTTTGTCTTTTTACTTCTTGCCCCTTCAGTGTGATCTCACCCTTTTGCTCTCTCCCTGCTCCTACACGTGCCACCTACACCAGCCCATTTATCTTCTGTCTTGGTCTATTGCCCTTTTGCATGTTTGTTCTTACTTTTCTTCCTCTCAGCCCATCCATTCATGAGTTGATGCTTGTGTCCTTATGGGTCCCACAGTAATTTGGAACTCCCAGAACTATCTATCCTATGAAAGAAGATGTAGTTGTGGAGTGAATTAGTCTTTGTGCCCACACGGAGATGAGTTAGAAGGTGGAAAACAACTTTGCTATTCACCATTATGAGGCCATACTGGTTCATCGCCCAGTTAATATTTTGGATTTCTCATTTCTTTACTTCAGATTAGTGTTTAAATCTGTTTTCATGGTACAGCATTCTAAGAACATAACCTATCATTTACTAAATGTAATATTTGTTTGTCTTACCCCAAAAGTAGTCAGATATGTTTCGCATGTGATGTTTTGCACAGGAGCTACAAGGCTATTGTAGCTAAAAGCTAAAAGCACACTGACCCAACATTGCAGTGTGAATAGAGGAGAACCCTCTACTAGAGTGCGAATGAGGAGAACACTGTACTGCAGTGTGAATAGAGGAGAACCCTCTACTAGAGTGTGAATGAGGAGAACACTGTACTACAGTGTGAATGGGGAGAACACTCTTCTACAGTGTGATTGGAGCAGAACACTCTTCTACGATGTGAATGGGGATAACTACTACAGTGTGGATGGGGAGGACACTCTTTTACCATGTGAATGGAGGAGAACAGCCTTCTCCAGTGTGAAATGGGGAGAACACTCTACTACAGAGTGAATGGAGGAGAACACTCTTCAACACTGTGAAATGGGGAGAACACTCTTCTACAGTGTGAATACGGAGAACACTCTTCTACAGTGTAAAATGGGGAGAACACTCTTCTACACTGTGAATGGGGAGAACAGTACTGCAGTGTGAACAGGGAGAACACTGTACTACAGTGTGATTAGAGCAGAACACTCTTCTACAGTGTGAATGGGGATAACTACTACAGTGTGGATGGGGAGGACACTCTTTTATGATGTGAATGGAGCAGAACACCCTTCTCCAGTGTGAAATGGAGAGAACACTCTTCTACAGTGTGAAATGGGGAGAAAACTCTACTACAGTGTGAGTGGAGGAGAACACTCTACTACAGTGTGAGTGGAGGAGAACACTCTTCTACAGTGTGAATGGGGAGAACACTTTTCTACAATGTGAGTGGAGGGGAACTCTCTTCTACAGTGTGAAATAGGGAGAACACTACTACTGTGTGAATGGGGAGAACACTACTACTGTGTGAATGGGGAGAACACTACTACAGTGTGAGTGGAGGAGAACACTTCTACAATGCAAATAGGGAAAACACTCTTCTACAGTGTGAAATGGGGAGAACACTACTACAGTGTGAGTGGAGGAGAACACTCTACTACAGTGTGAGTGGAGGAGAACACTTCTACAATGCAAATAGGGAAAACACTCTTCTACAGTGTGAAATGGGGAGAACACTACTACAGTGTGAGTGGAGGAGAACACTCTACTACAGTGTGAGTGGAGGGGAACTCTCTTCTACAGTGTGAATGGGGAGGACACTCTACTACAGTGTGAGTGGAGGAGAACACTCTTCTACAGTGTGAGTGGAAGAGAACACTCTTCTACAGTGTGAATGGAGGAGAACACTCTTCTACAGTGTGAATGGGGAGAACACTTTTCTACAGTGTGAGTGGAGGGGAACACTCTTCTACAGTGTGAATGGGGAGGACACTCTACTACAGTGTGAGTAGAGGAGAACATTCTTCTACAGTGTAAATGGGGAGAACACTGTACTACAGTGTGAATGAGGAGAACACTACTACAGTGTGAGTGGAGGAGAACACTTCTACATTGCAAATAGGGAAAACACTCTTCTACAGTGTGAAATGGGGAGAACACTACTACAGTGTAAATGGGGAGAACACTACTACAGTGTAAATGGGGAGAACACTACTACAATGTAAATGGAGGAGAACATTCTTCTACAGTGTAAATGGGGAGAACACTGTACTACAGTGTGAATGAGGAGAACACTACTACAGTGTGAGTGGAGGAGAACACTTCTACATTGCAAATAGGGAAAACACTCTTCTACAGTGTGAAATGGGGAGAACACTACTACAGTGTAAATGGGGAGAACACTACTACAGTGTAAATGGGGAGAACACTACTACAATGTAAATGGAGGAGAACACTACTACAGTGTAAATGGAGGAGAACACTCTACTACAGTGTGAATGAGGAGAACACTACTACAGTGGGAGTGGAGGAGAACACTTCTACAATGCAAATAGGGAAAACACTCTTCTACAGTGTGAAATGGGGAGAACACTACTACAGTGTAAATGGAGGAGAACACTCTACTACAGTGTGAATGGAGGAGAACACTACTACAGTGTGAAACGGAGAAAACACTCTACTACAGTGTGAATGGAGGAGAACACTACTACAGTGTGAAACGGAGAGAACATTCTACTACAGTGTCAGTGGGAGAGAACATTGTAGAGTCCACTGGCAAATGAATGCCTATGGCACACCAGCTCAGCTTTTGGGATTGTTAATGAACGTCGGGTCATTGTGCTCTGGCCTCAATAAGTAATGAAATCTCATATTCCACCAATTAGCATTGTGCAAACTATATGTCTGTATCATCACACCCCCACCTCAAACTGTGTCAGGTTAAGTAATCTCAGATTGACTTGCTTATGTGGCTACTGACAGTACAGACAAAATTCAGACTTCAATATGGCTGCTACTACTTTGTGCATTTTTTAGAGAACTTTTGTGGATCTTGGCTGATCCACAGCTATTAGGGTAAGAGGAAATTGTGTGAATGTTTCTAAAACATTGGTGGCAACACATTTAGTTACTTGTGATTAGCTATGAAGTCTGGGTTGCACTGGTTTTGTGTAAGTTTGTACCTAAAACTAATGGTCTTTACTTAGCACTCAAATTTTCGTTTTATTAAATTCAAATTTGAATGCACCACAAATCCATAAGTAATGTCTTAACTAGTAAGAACTCATGTACACATCTACAAATGCTAAAACTGCTGCTTTAACCTGTTTTTGTCTTACAAATGAACTGAATCCCTCAAACAGCTTTTTAAAACAATGGTTTTCAACTGGGACAGCAGCAGCATCAGTCTAGTTTCTTTAGTGAGACTAATCTGCTGAGTGTCATTAAATTGAAGCTTTGGCTGTATGCTTAATGTTTGAAGTTGGAAGTTTGAATCAATGTCATGATTACAGCTAAAAATAAAACCACAACACACAGCATTTAGTATTATCAAGTTGAAAAAATGAAGACAGCAAATAACATAGACTGTTCTTGAAAGGTCTTATTTTCATCCTCTATGAAGTTCCTGTTGGTTTCAGCAGCACTTAAAGTCAGTTCTCAGGTGGAGGTATATTTAGTAACTGCTAAGCTCAGCGCGGTGCAAAGCGTTTTGGTTTAGTAATGTGTAAATACTTGTGTTATAAGTAGCATATGTTTGAACTTACACACAGCTGGTGCAACCATCCCCTGGTCAGTCATATGACAAGCAGAGAGCCAGCAAACTGTGACTTGAAACAGAAACCCAGTTATTGCTTCGGTCCATTTAAAGGAAATCTAGATGCTCCACCTGAGCCAGATTCATTTGTGCTAGTGCCATGCATTCGCTGGTGTGAAATGAATCGCCCAAAAATACTCTGAACTGGGTGATGTCATGTTGGCCGTGTTTTGGTGAAGGCAAACAGAGCGGGCCTATTTATTAATTTCATAATCTCATAAAGTCAGAGCTGGACTCATAAATCCAGAACTGGACCAGCTTAGGTGCCAAACGGCACTCTTTCAGCCCAGCTAGAGCTGATTAGCTCCAACCCACCAGCCCCCCCCAAAAAATGAGATGTTTAATGAGAACGATCTCAGAAATTGCCACAAAGCCTTTTTTATACAGTGAGTGTAAGGGGTCCTGGGGTCATTTCCAAGAACACAGAAACACTGGCTTTTCACTGTGCAGTAGATTGCTGAGCTTATTTGCTTTAATGTTAATGTGGCTGCTGGTGTTTTGAGTGTTTTCAGGTGTTATAATGTGGTGGATGTTTGTTCTTGTAGATATCGTAGAGGGAGTGGTGAATAAAGGCATTTATCTCAGCGGAGACAGAGGAGCCACTTTTCTCCATTTCGGTAACTACAGAAACTCCTGCATTAGTGACCCCACGCTGTGTGGACCACAGGGTGAGTACAAAGCACCCACTCTGCCTCTCACTTCCCTTCTTTTTCTCTCTGTCTGTGTTCTGCTTGTTTTTTTGTTACCTCTTTTCCTCTGCCTCAACCTACGTTCACATTGGCAGGCGACAGCAACAAGTGACCATTAAATCCCAATATGAGTACTCGGTTTGTAGTTGCAATTTAGCAACAAGCAACAAATAACAGCTGCACGGCGCCAAACAAAAACTCAAGCTTTACGCAAATTAAGTGTCACATGGTGATGCGACAATTTAAATCAGAGGTCTTTAATTAAAGTTCAGTAAGGTCCAGTCAAAGAAAATTTCCTCAAGCAAAGGTCCGGAACATCGTGATGTCTAACTTGCATTATGATTCAGTGCCACATGTTTGCTGAAGTAGCCTAGTAGGTATATCAACATCTTATGTAGTCAATAACTGAATGTCAAATCAAATAAAGTACAGTTTAGTGATATTTCAGCAATATTTATTGTCAGTTTTCTCTTTCTAGAGCGCACCATGTAAAGTAATCTGGCTCACTTTCTTCTTCAACTGTTTCGCCTCGTTCCTCCCCTGTTTGTGCATCACTCACTCGAGTCTCAGTGCTCATCGTAATGCACAGATCTGATTGGCTGAGTAGCGTCACGTGATTAGTCATTACCTCTCTTTCTTCCTTTCTACATTTTCTCTCTTCTCTATTTCTAGGACTTTTTTCTCTCTTTACCTTCTATTAAATTTCTCTCTTTCTCACTCACTCTTTACCTCTATTTCTCCCCCTCTCTACCTTCTCTTCCCTTTTTTCTGCTTCTCTCTCTTTCTCCTCCCTCTTTCTGTCTCTATTTTATGGTGTATCTCTAGCTCTTATTGTCTCACTCACTCCCTGCCTCTTTCTCTCTTTAACCATTTCTGTTTCTTCTCTCTCACTACCCCTTTTCTCTCTTTTCTTTTTTTCTTTCTCAATTTCTCTCTCAATTTTTCTCTCTGTGTACTTTTGTCTCGCTTTCACTCACTCTTTACCTCTTTCTCCCTCTCTCTACGTCTCTGTCTACCTCCTTTTTCCCTCTTACTTCCCTCTTTCTGCTTCTCTCTCTATTTCTCTTTCGCTCTTCCGCTTATTCTCTCTGTACTTCTCTCTTCTTTCTCTAACTCTATTTCTGCCTTGTCTTTCTCTTATTCTGAATTCTCTATCTCTCTCTACCTGTTTCGCTTCCACTCAGTCTTTATCTCTCTCTCTCTCTCTCTCTCTCTCTCTCTCTCTCTCTCTTTCTCACACACACACACACATACTTTTTTGCTTCTCTCCTTTTGATCTCCTGCTTTTATTTTTCTCTTTTATTCTGTGCCTTAATGACAGATTTCCTGTTTACCCCATCTCTACGGGACATTTTCTATAAAAGATCTGATGCAGAAGTGCATGACCTTCTTTGGGCATCAACAACACAGTTATGGGGCTTGAGTGATTCGAATGATGGGTCATGAATCATTTTCATCTCCATCAAGCCAAAATGGCACAACATGGGCTAATGATACAAAGGCTAGATTTATGACAAATGGAGATTTGTAGCTGTAGAAAGCAGTTGAATTATATCAGAGTGCATCAGGAAAAAGGAGAATATTCCTGTGAAGGCTGATGTCATCTGGCAGCCATCTCACATTATATTAGCATGAATTTCACTCTGCAGAAAAAAATGAGAATGGCGTATTCATTTCCATACAGCAGTTTTGCTTGTGCTGTTTGTGTTGAAAGGTCCTGGGTGTAATAAGCAATGACTTTGTTCAGCATCACACGGGCGTTTGCTCTGTAAAGGGTGCTTGACAGTAGCTGTTGGATTATGAAAAACAGACGTGACTGCCTATATGTCGTAAACATTGTTGCACGTATATTGTCCATGGCTGTGCGAACATTTATTCAGTCCAACATTTTTATTTTTTTATTGATAGCCTCAGGGTGAAAGGCATGTGAACAGCACCATTTCTCTTGGGCACTGACATCAGGCCCAAGAGTGTTCAGTTATCCTTTCCAGACTTTGGTATTTTTACTCAGTCTTCATAACTCAAGTTAATTACACTGTAACTCGAGAATAGCTCATTAATCATCCATTATTTGGCTGTTGTTGCTTGCTGCTGTTTGTCATTGCAGTCCACTGTATGACTGAATTTGTTTACAATGGATTACTGTCTTGTGTAATTGCAATTTAATAGCTAATCAGTTTCAGTTGCCTTGAAATGCATCACGGGAAGCTAAAAAAATAAACTTTAAAATTTAAATCCATTTTTAAATCAGATCTACAGAAGTTGCCCTTACATCAAATGTAGTGTAGTCACACATGTTTGATGTCTGAAGTTTGCTGTTTAGTTTTGCACTGCAGCTTCGAGGCCAGTGTAGCTAGCAAGAGATAAATGCTCCACTAATTAGCACTAAAAATGGACATGTACGTTGCACAGCTAAAAATAGATGTAAGTTCTATCTTGTCTGTACTATCGTCCGTTTCTGTAGATAACACCGTGCCATACAGTGTCAGAAACCATATAAGTGATCTATTGGAGTTTACAAGATTACTTAACAGCTCTTTGTCGGCATGCAGTTTGCACCATGCTAATTGATGGTTATAAGCTTCCATTACTTGTTACCTAAGTTAGCCTTGAAGCTCACGTGCCAGACTAAAGAAGCAAACTTCAGATACCAAATGTGCCTGCTGTTTGTAAAGGCTACACAGGAGTTTCACAGACTGAGGCCGCTGAAGTAAGCTGAACTGAAGATTTCTGAGAGCCTGATGAAACCTGTTTCTCAGAACAGTATTGAAAAAGTGTATTTCTGTGTGGCAGGTGTGACGTTCTCTTTCTTCTGGAAGAATCAGGAGATGGAGTCACGCTTTGCCGTCTTGTCTGGAGGGAAGATCATTTCCAATGGCTTCTCGGTGTACGCGAACCCGGTGGGGGGATACGTGGAGTTCTACACCAGAGGAAACTCCAGACGCTGGAAAGTTCACATTACACCACCAGGTACACACTCACTGAGAGGGAGTGACAGAGTCAATGAGTAAGAGATGGCTGGGCGTGGGTGAGTGAGTGCCTGAATGAGTGAGAGTGAGTGAGTGAATGAGTGAGTCACTGAATGAGCGAGAGTGAGTGAGTGAGAGTTTGAGTGAGTGAGTAAGTGAGTAAGTGAGTGAGGATGCCACTGAGTGAAAGAGAGAGTGAGTGAATCACTGAGTGAGTGAGTGAGGGAGTCACTGAGTGAGTGAGTACAAATGAGTGAGAGTAAGTGAGTCACTTAGTGAATGAGTGTGAGAGTGAATGAGTGAGAGTGAGGGAGTCACTGAATGAGTGAATGAGAGAGTGAATGGTGAATGAAAGAGTGAGTTAGGGAGTCAGTGAGTGAGGTAGAGAGTGAGTGTGAGAGTGAGTCACTTAGTGATTGAGTGTGAGAGTGAGTGAAAACGATTAAGTGAGAGTGAGGGAGTCCTTGAATGAGTGATTGATAGAGTGAATTGCTGAGTGTAAGAGTGAGTTAGGGGGTCACTGAGTGAGTGAGTGATTGAGAGGGTGAATAAGAGAGGGTAGTAACATGTTGTTGCTGTTGGAACAAATTTAATTTTTTTCACATGGCTGTAAAGCAGCAGTTGGCCTTTACATTGTTTCAACATTTCAAGGAGAATTGATGAACAGAAATGATAGAATAAGATCTTGTTCCATTAACTTCTTTGCAGTTAATGATGTTTTTTCCTTCTCCAGTAAAGTTACCTTTTTGGAGTTATTAGGTTTAGTCCTCATACTGACAATATGGTACCTAAGTATGACCCTAAATCCTGACACAAACCTGTGTTTGTGTGTGCGAGTATGAGTTAATTAGGAAGAAACCTTAGGTATGTGTGAACTGTGGTTATGTGGGTTATATGGGTTGAGTTTATGGCCCTTATCGACTCTGTGCTCTCTCAGCTTTTACATTTTTCAAATGCACTCTGGTTTGGAGCAAATTTGACATTTGTCCATAAATGTTTTCAGTGTAATTGTGTACACAATCAGATAAATGAAAACCAGATTTGCCTATGTGTGTGTTTGGATTACTTGGTTTGAAAATATGGTTTAAATTATAATTATGTGAGAAAGTAGACATTTGATTTTAGTATGAAACCATTTTGATGCCTCTAGATGATTTTGGGCTATAATTGTGTGCAAACTCCCTGTCCTGTTGGCTTTAGTGAGTGTGTCCAGGGCTCAGTGTTGATTTTGTGATAAATGCTGGCTAAATGTTGTGTTTTCTCATTTTAAAGCATAAGCTGCTGTAATGCACCGAGAATGCTAGCAAGACACAGTGCCCAACACTGGGATTACAGTGTGGATAAATAAAGCCATTAAACCATCAGAATGAAAAAATATGTTCACCTCACTTTTAATATTTAAACAGTTTGCATATATTTTTGCATTGGTTTAACTTTCATGTTTTTTTCCCTTAAACTTCATTGTACACTGGTTTGCAGCAAATGAAATTTAGCCAAAGTAGCTGGATGTAAGTGTTGAACTCTAATAATATGAGATTTGAGGTAAAATTTGAAACAGTGTGAAATTTTTGACATGCTCCCTTAAATAAAAATTAAAGCAGAAACTGAATTCCTTGAATACAGTGATATTCTAAATATATCTTAATATCATAATGTTTTGGTTTTTAAATTTAATTGACTTCGTGTTTGTTATTTTCATTTTTTATTTACTTGAACGTAGTTACACTTTTTACAGTGTACATTCTCAAAGGCTTTCAGCCATTTGCTTAATGAAAGCTGTTCATAAAGAATCTTTATTAATGTTCCTCTTTGAGCATTTGACAAGAGCAAAATTTAAGAATGAGGCTTGATTGTCTTGATGTCACATGAAGGTGAAACTGTGCAATGCTGCATAAAAGCTTATAGAATGGAAACATCTGCTGTTGAAGATTCAGCATCCCAGATTTCATTGGCTGTATAAAAAACCTGACTTAGAAGTGCTCTTTTTTTTTGAGTCTTCAGCACGCTGTTTGCTTGACTTGAGCACATGTGGTGTAAAGGCTAGTCCAATCTGGGACTAATATCACTGGTATCCCCATTTCAAAACAGAGAAATCTTTGCTAAGCCCTTCCTAATACTCCCTGTTTTCTCTCTTTTCTCTCTTTCCAGGACCTTTCTGGACACACATTCTCTTCACATGGACTCTGAAAGATGGCTTGAAGGTATACATAAATGGCACCTTCAGTGTCAGCGATGAGGTTGGCGGCGTGTCACAGGTCTACGGCGACACCTACACTGACCTGGTGATCGGAACAGGAAACAGGGAGTCCTATGAGCACTATGTGACTGGGGCCTTCGATGAGTTTGTCATTTGGGAGAGAGCTCTTTCGCCCAAGGAGATCTGGCTCTACTACAAAGCAGCAATAGGTAGTTTTATTTATTACATCTGAAGTTCACTGCGCTAAAAAGTGCCGCCTTGAACTTGCATGATTCATCATTTTTTCATTTATTCGTCATTTCCTTGTGAATAAATGGAAAGCATAATTTAGTCTTTCAGTTTACTCACTTTTGCCCATAATTCTGTGTATGTACTACATTTTATTCCTAAGGAAGTGAAGCACACATTGAAGTATCAAGTGTCACACATGTCAATGCAACACTTTATTGTAATGTGTTATTTTTCTGTCTGATTTGCATTCTACAGCCTTGTAGCAGCTTTTTATTTTATTTTAATAACTTCAACTAGGGATGCATCGATACAGATACTGCTAGCGATTATCAAGCTGATACCATGCTCATTAACTTGTACTCATACTCATTAAAATACCGATACCAACATTCCGATAGCATCGCATGACGAGTTGACGCTGTCACACTAATGAACAAACTCAGTGAAGGAAGTGTTCACAGTCGGAGACAAAGCCATCAGTCACTTTAAACATTCTGCTTTAGCAGATTCCCTCCAGACCTACAATGTGTGGTTATAAACACACAATCACAGCTGCTTCCTCAATAAGGGGGAGACACATACGCTAGCGAAAAGATGGAAAAACTTGTCATTTGCTACCAAAGTATATCTATGCTGATTTTACTCTTTGACTGAATAGAATTCTGAAGTATAAACGCTAATACAGTGATTTTTTTATAAAACAGGCTGTACAGACCGTATTGTCCTAGTGTGTACATCACCACCTGGTTTAGTTTCAGTGCTCAGGTTAATAGCACTGTTTGTGCGTGTTTGCTCAGTACTCGTTGCGCAGCGTGTTGTTTTGAATGAAACAGCTTCATTGGAAATGGCTCATGAACAGAGCTGTCTGTAGAGCTGCGTTTATGTAGCATGGACGGAGTGTTTTCGTACAGTGAGTGTAAAAATCATTGGCTTTGAACAGAACTTGATGGTCTGTTCAAACATACAGATTTTCTAAAACTGCACAGTGTTTGTCTGGCTTTAGAGGACATTCAGCTACAGCTCAATCAGCCAAGTCTCCAAAAAAACATAAAACACTACACATGAGCTTCTCAGATGCAGTAGCCTCGATGTTATTCCTGCTGTCACTGTGTTACAGAGACTGTTGTTGAAAGACACAGATGAGGAGCAAAACTACAGCTGTATAGAAGTGCTTTACTAATCTGCTACAAAACCCACTCTTCTCCACTGCAGCGATACCCAATCCTAAACTTTATGATTTAACTGTTAAGGTGGCACATGTTTACACTAACAACTTAATTCACAGTAGGTTACTCAGTATGGTATCGGACTCAGTATCAGCGAGTACTAAAAAATATGTACTCGGTCTATAAAAAACGGCCAGCTTCAACTGTTAATATGTAAAAGAATGCATGTCAGTCGGCACTTCAGTTCCCCTCTCTCATAACTACATAACTTACATGTTGAGTGCCAAAAATATATAGTAGTTACAATATAATAAGCTTTAAAGGTGCGCTTTGTAAGTAAGGATTTGGAGAGCTCATTTGTTGCTCAAGTTTTTTTTTTCTCCTGAGTGCTACTTTTTTCAATTTAAACAAAAAATCTTGCATAGTGCAGCTTTAAAGAGCATGAAACAAAGCAAAAAATAAGCCTAGGCTTCAAGGGGTTATTTTCTTATTAACTTCTCTTAGCTGCTCTTCTGGCCATTCCTGCCCTTTTGCCCAGCTGTCTACGGCTCTTTGGCTTTAGTACCACTTGTCCTATGGTATCTCAGGCTGGCCACAGATGGCGGCCAGTGGCGCCTGTTCAGATTAGAATGTTCTTTACACCATTTACAAGAGTCATATGTTGTGCCTTCAGGGTTGTATGTTGTCTCTTATTTACTCTCATACACAAGAACACATGCTCAGTCTTTGCTGACCGATTATTACTAATCACTTGACCCCTTGAAGTCTACAGTTGTTGCTCTTGTTTATACTACACGATTATTTAAATGCAGTGTATATAATTACGTAACTATGTACAAAGTTACAAATTGAAAAACGATTACATTTAGTTGGACTCCACACTGGCAAAAATGTCCAAAATACAAAACAATACTGAACGCAACTTTTTAAAGTCAAATTCAAATCATAGTAAATGATCTCCTCTTTGGATTGAAAGATTAGGATCTGCAGAATTGACTAGAATCAACAGAATTTCTCCACTTGTTTCAATGAGCTACAAGTGAGAAATATTTCATGTCAAATTACAGCATATTTTTATCTCCAGCTATAACCACCTCTTTTAAAGATCACTATACAAGCTGTTTACTGGCGAATGTTTGTTGTTGTGTTTGTTGTGTTGTCGGTTGTCATATCGTGAAATACTGTGGGCCAAGTTTTCAGCTCATTCCTTGCATGTCACATGCTTTCATTCTAGTCTCATACAAACAATGATATAAAACATCTGCAGCGACAATCATTTCCTTTTCTGCCGTTATCGGTTATGAGCGTGCCAAAGAGGAAAGAGGTTTTAGGAGGCAATTTCCACATTCTCCACATTCCTCCATCTCTTCCCACATTCAACAGCCACACACCAAAGAACACATAAATAACTGCATCTGTAAATCAGATTCAAGCTCCACATCGGAACAGCGCGTATCATCGCCTTATATGTATGTGATGCAGGGCTGAGTCTTCTTTCTCTTTGTCTCAGACTGAAAGTGTTTGGAGAACTGTTAGAGGGCGTTGGGGCTGGTTCTGTGTTAATGCACAGTGTTTTTGAAACATCATGATGGTAATTCTTAACAACTGCGGCTGGCAAACTTGTGCCTGAAGTGGAACCATTTCTGAGCATTTTAAACGTGTTTGTACAAGGTTCTCAGTCACTTTTATGCATATTCTATTAGGAACATAGTATGCATTAGCATCATGTTTTAAAAACTTTATATTTTACACTCTCAGAAAAAAAGGTAGTAAACTGTCACTGGGGCAGGACCCCACTTCTCAGAGTGGTACCCTCAAGGGTGCATCTTAGTACCTTTAGTCAGGGAACATAATTGTACCATAATCCATTGAAATTATATTTTATGTTGTATTGACTACACACACCCTGTCTCATCTCCAGGCTTTTTATTTTGTTGTTCTGTGTTAAAACGCTAGGTTATGAAAAGATAGAAATATTAGAAAGGTAAAAATACTTATTTAAGGTTCACAATTGGACCTTAAAATCACTGTTGTACCTTTGAGGGAACATTTACATTGTTTGTACCTTGATGAACAAAAAATGTACCTGCACAGAACCTTTATTTCTAACGTGTATCAAGTATGCCATTAATTGCACCAACCAGTGCAAAGTCCAGGAAAGCTGTTGATGTTTGGGCCAACACTTGAATTAAACGGTGAGGCACCTTGTGAGATTTAAACCAGTAGCCTTATGCTTACAGATATGAGGTGGTAGACCACTGTCCCAGAATCACTACTTATTTTTGGTATTGAGATTATTACAGTATGGTGCATTGGTAAAACATTCTGTGGCATCTTTGGGCTGGCATAATGGAAATATATTTAGGGATTAATAATTCTACCAACTTAGATAAAGGCATTTTAGACACTGTCTGTCAAGAGTCTGAAGACGCCTGGCTTTTGTCTTGCTGAGTTTTCTTGCTTGTTATTATTTGATTAAGTAAGCTACTTTAACCACAAAATGGACAGCGTTTACGCAAAACTTCTAATCATCAGCCTGTCAGTGTTTCTTTTTTCATAAGCCTCTTGGCCTGTGTAGCCAGCAGCAGTGGACAGAGTGAAGTGGACATGGCCCATGTGTCTGCCACGTTTCTCCCCATCACAGTGGAGTCCATCTTCATCAAAACCGTCAGACCCCACCAAAGAGCCAGCAGGCACAAATTACAGTCCGGTTACGAAACGCCCTGTCCTTCTCTTCCAAAACGAATACAATGAAATGCTGTAAAGCAAAATGCTGACATAGTAATCTTCTGCTAGAAATGCCTCCCAGTCATGATCCTAGCTAAGGGCTCTGTTTTCGTTCATATTAGACAAAGCTTTAGAAAATCTGTCGGCACTGCTTTAGGCCACAGTGCTCACATTTGCGGTGGATAATTGTGTTAGATGGCGGTTATGTTTATCTCACTATTTGAGACAGCTCTGGCTGTGGACTTGGCCAGCACTGTTTACCCACAGCGTAACTGAGGCTGTGGTTTCAGCTGGAGCTTGCTCAATTAAGTCCTTACTCGCTGTAAAATGCCACGGGCAGGGAGTACAACTTTTGACAGAAATTTCTATAAGGTCTTAATCTACAAGGTTATGGAGTTTAGAAAAGATGCATGGATCCAAGTTTTATGTAGGGCTACTTTAATTTATTCCTTAATTTCATTAAAATAGTACTAATCATCATAGCGCTACACCAAAAAGATGGTTCTTAGGAGCAGTGCTGTAGAAGAACCACCTTCGCTTCCTTGAAGATCCTTTCTTTGGATAGTTCACTCACTGGAATGCTCCAGTGTTTTTCAACCTAATCTCTATCTGGCATATTCCTAGCACCCTAGTCTTTTCTAAGAACAGGGAAAAGCACAGAAGAGTTGATTCAATCGTGACTCAATCGAACACTACAGATGCTGCAGATAGAGATGGAGTATTTTTCTAAAGAACCCTCCATTAAAAGTTTCTTTAGGTTCTTCTGTGCCATCACTCCAAATAACTATCCTTTTGGCACCCAATTTTTAAAAAGAGTATTTCGTTCTTTTGGGGTCAGTTTTGGCCCTGACTGCTTTATATAACCACACTCCCTCGCAGTAGTAACTGCTGGCCATATTCATTAATGTTAAAAACTTACTGTTCTCCACAGAGAGAAACAAATATCCAACATTTTTCCTCTACCTTCAGCAGCACTGGGCTATAATGAGGCCCCTAGCATGGAGGAGTATTTAGAGAGCTGGTCTGCCAGGGGGGCTATAAACTGCCTGCCTGTAATTGACCATCTGTGTTCTTGTATGGAAATGCTCCTTGCATGGGCCAAGACAGGAAGAGCTATCAGTGGTATTTACCTCTCTGACAGGTGTGGAGGATTTTCTCTCAATCTGGGGCTTGTCTCCAGCAGTTAAATTTCTTCTGAATTTATGAATGGTTACACCCTTGAAAGTCGGTGCCAAAAATGGGTGTTTGAAGCAGTGCCATAGAAGAACCTCCTTAAGCTTCCTAAAGAACGTTTTTTGTAAAAGAGATGTGTGAGTGTGAGGAACCATACTAATGTTTAAAAATTCTGCACATCATTTAAAGGTACTATACTTTTTCCTAGAACCATACATCTAAGCAATGAACATTGTAAGTACATTTATTTTTAGGAGTGCACATATGTGCAAGTGCAGTAACCTGGCTTCAGTGTTTTTCAGTGTTTTCAAGGGTTAATTGCATCCGTTTTCGTTGGATGAGTTTTTTGTGCTTATTTAACTTAAATTTTCAGGCACTCCTTTAATGTCTTTTAATAATGTTTTTTTTTTTTTAATGTTGACTTGTATATTTATATGTGCTTTTTTGTGTGTATATTCCTTAACCACAGGCGAAAAGGTGAATTTTCCTCCGACGACTGAATCTCCAACCTCCGTCCAGACTACAACGAGTACTGATGGTCTGCAGGTAAATACTTATATTGTAAAGTCATTATTTCTGTCTCCACTCACTGCCAGATATGCTCCATATTCATTCCATAGTCTCTACAAGTGACTGACAGTGGAAAATACGCTGTAAAATAGCGTGGAGAATACATTACTTACAATTTTCCTTATTATCTAGGAGGTTGTATAAAGCGCATATATTTATCATGAAACCATGTGCTCAAAAAAGTAAACAGAGAGACTGGACATTGTTGGTTAGGGGGCAGACATTGTCTCAATAGTAATTACTTACGCACATAATTGAGCAAAGCTCTCTCCCTGATTCCCTGATTTTTCATCACTCTGACTGATTATTTAGCTTCATTGAAAGTGCAACACCAGCCTAGATGGGCTCATTGTGTCCCACCAGATCTAGTACAGTCATTCAGATTGTGATAAATTGCCTAAAGTGGATTATTGGAAAACCTTCATTAATGGTTGTTTTGTAACTCATGACAAGCAAGCATTCCTTTGGTGTAGGAGTTCAGAATCTTCTATCATGAAGGAATCTTTGCTACTAAAAGTTCATATAGATTATTAGGTTAAATAACAGATCATTTTAATGTTTAAGCTTACTTGTGATATGAAATGCATAGGCATTAATTGTAAGACTGTAGTGAAGTTTGTGCTGCATGTTAATCGTGCATTTTAAGCACTAATGTTAAGCAGTGCACATCAGTAAGGTTAAAGTTGTGAGTTAGCTGTTGTGTTGAGTCTGGTGACTTCATTTGGCTGACAGTAAATTAGTCTGGGCATTCAGGCAGTGACAGATCCACCATGGCCTCCCACTACGCAGAGGAGAGGGAGTTTTATAGCCCCCATTTTACAGACTCTCAAACTGTCCTCTGTGACTTTTCCCCTCATCAGCCATTGAATAAGTAAAGGGAGTGAGGATACACACATACACACACAAACACACATGTTTGTTTTTATACAGTGTCAGGGCTTGAGATTGTACATGTCCCATATGTATTATGAGAGAGTGTGTCATCAAACGTGTTATTTTGAGTAACATCACAGCTATAATTTGGTCACAAATTACCACAGCTGAGTATGTTATTCACAATGACCTTACGTATACTTATACACACATGGCCTTAAGTATACTTTTGCTTTTATACAACAGCTCTGAAAAATACAGGAAAAAGTTCATTCCTTCCACCAAAAAAGTAGTACTTTTTTATATTAGTCTCAATATCAGGTTCAGCACACCTTTTTCAATATTTGACAGAATAACTTGAGTGTTGTTTTGTTCTAGTCAGTCTGTAAAGCGTTTCACAACTGTATCTTGTTTGCTGAAATGTATTCAGTTTTGTTTCTGGCCTATTCCAACTCGTTTAGAAGCAACAACAGGTTCAGAATTGATGTAGGCTTGCAGTCACGCTGCATCAGAATCTGACCCATTGGGCTGCAGGTCAAATATTATCATAGAGAAGTTAGTTAATGAAGCTGTTTTCTGTTTTTGTTTGTGCTTATATGTAGAAACTGTAGCTGCAGCATAAAGTGAGTCAGGGCTTAGCAACTGGAGCTCGGTTATTACAGTTATTGTGAAAAGAAAACTTAAACTTGGTTGAGAAGCATTTTACAGGAAGGATGCTTTTCAACCCATCAGATTACGTCATCAAAACTAACTGCCATATTATATCGTCGCTTTTAAAAAAAATATGTATCTCTATTTTTGTCAATTTTCATTTTTCTGCATCATTTCAACACGGTGGCTGTCCTTCACATTGTGTCACAATTTCATAATGAATGGGCCAATTGAAATGCTCCAAAACCACTTAAGATAAAACCTCTTTACATCAACTTTCAGCAAAAATTCAGAGCGTTTTTGAAACTATATGAAAACAAACACACGCAACGTACATTCTCAAACAATCAGGGGATTTAGAACTAACTCAGACGTATGACAGCCTCCGAGGGGTCATAAACACACACACACACCCTCAACAGACCTATGTTCTTGATCCCAGCAGGAAATGAGGTGGAGAGCAGGGCCGTAAACACAAACAAATCCTTCTCTTGTAGTGCTATTGTTTTCCCCCAGACTCTGAGGAAATGGAAAGAAATTGGATATTGAGCGCTCACGCAAGAGGCATTGCGGCCGATTATTAAGCCGGGCGGTCAGAAAAGAGAGGGGTGGAAGGGGTGGAGGGGGTTGCAGAGGCAGCTGAAGTGTTCCCAGATTTAACACGGCTTCCTTTAGGGTATGGATAAAACAATAAGGCAGTCAGAAGGTAGTCTGCAACTTATTTCAGACTCGTTTGATTTATTTTTTTTCCTCAAACCGGTGCGTATGATTCTTAAACACTCATAATCTCATCCCAAAAGTGGGCATCTGTGTGTGTGTGTGTGTGTGTCTTTGTGTGTGTGTGTGTGTGTTGGACACATTCACACTGTTCCAGATAGATGTAATGAAGGCTGAACTGAACGTATCCTTAATTTGAGAGACGAACACAGCTTTAATGAAGTAACTCCACACAAGATCATTTTCATAAATTAAATCTCTAAGCTAAAACATATGGGGTCTGAAAGTGATGTCAGACCCAAGCTGCTGTTGACCACCTGATCTCTTTGTTTTCTGTGTGTGTGTGTGTGTGTGTTTGTCTGTGTTCTACAGGCAGTAACAGCATCCACCCTCCCCGTTAACCTGAGTGAGAATGTAGGCAGTGCTGAGGCTGGGGCTTCCATACCCATGATGGCATTTCTTCATTCTCTGCCCTTTAGCCTGCCCAACAAGACCATTTCACGGGACACAGCTCACAACCTCACACAGGTAGCAAAAGATAGGCATAACACTAAAAAAACACACAAACATATCCACTATGCTCTGTTAAATTGAGAAAATTTCGGATGGAATTTTGTAAATTTGATTTTTCACCAAACTATTGTGTTGACATGTAGCTTTCAGCTAGGGAAAAATGATTTAAATAAAATTAAAATTAATAAATGGTCTTTGAAGTTTGAAGTTAATGCCTATAGATTTTGTTTGATGTGTGTTTCAGACATTTTTGAGGAGCGTTGATGAGGTGATGTCTTCCAGTAACTGGAGAGAGGGTGAGGAGGTATGCAGAAATGCGTAATGGATGGATGGATGAGTGAGTTGATGATTAGATGGATGAATATGATAAGCTAAGCTGACACTGATGAGCGAGTGCATGGCTTTTCTGTGCTTTGTGAGATGTAACACAATGCTCTTCTCTCTGACCATGCATGTGTGTGCGTGAGCAGTGGACTCCTGTGGTCAGTGGACTCATAGACACAGTAGACAAAGTCATGGTGCACATGGTGTCCAACCTCCAGTCTAACCCGAACACTCCCATCACAATTGGTGGAAAGAGTTATGTTGCAGGTCAGTACAAACGCACCCCCACACACACACAAACACATACACACACCTATACACACACGCCCTGGGCCAGCATGTAAATCTGAGGTATGAACAGGTCTGCTATTACTCAGTAAAGTCTGTTCTTTTTCTTCTGACATGGTTGACTATCCTGGGGCTGGAATCTTTATACATGTAGAGGTTTTGTAATTAATTTCTAAAATCCCAGATTTTAATCCAATCTGCAGAGTGTGTGTAGTTTTTACAGTCTGACAATAATAATTGTGGAGCGATTTTAATCTAGTATGAATCTGCAGAGTGTGTGTAGTTTTTACAGTCTGACAGTAATAATTGCGAAGCGATTTTAATCCAGTATGAATCTGCAGTGTGTGTAGTTTTTACAGTCTGACAGTAATAACTGTGAAGTGATTTTAATCCAGTATGAATCTGCAGTGTGTGTAGTTTTTACAGTCTGACAGTAATAACTGTGAAGTGATTTTAATCCAGTATGAATCTGCAGTGTGTGTAGTTTTTACAGTCTGACAGTAATAATTGTGGAGTGATTTAAATCCAGTATGAATCTGAGTGTGTGTAGTTTTACAGTCTGACAGTAATAATTGTGGAGTGATTTAAATCCAGTATGAATCTGAGTGTGTGTAGTTTTACAGTCTGACAGTAATAATTGTGGAGTGATTTTAATCCAGGATGAACCTTCTGTCTGTCCTGTGGCATAAAACTGGTATGACTATCCAGGCTATGATATTTTATTCTGGGTTATCTGTGAGAATTAGGGTAAATTACACTGAGACTTTATCACATGCCCGTCGGCCAGTTAAATCTCACAAATTACAGTTTGCAATACTCAGCCTCCTCTTGTAAAACTAATCCAGCTGCAGCACAGTGCAATGCAGCACAATGCTTGTACAGTAGGTGTCAAGCAGCTGAACAACTTCTGTACATTTTTACCATGTTTTGTTTGCTGGCAATAAAGCAAAAATTATTTCTCCAACCTAGCTATGCAAAATGTAAATAAAATGTGTAATTAATGATTTGGCCATGTAATCATGTACATTTAAATACAGCAAACTGACAGTAATAACTCTAGATTTCTATGGGTAAAGATTGTACATAAATACATTCAATCAGATGTGTTCAATCGCTGGAGTGGTACTATGAATGTTACAAGCCCTTTCTGTGAGTCAGCAAGTTCCACATACAGTGGGCTTCAGTTTAGCAAATAGCTATCAGGAAGTGCGTCATCACTATACAATTGCTACTGATGGGCAGGGGCTTCAAAGAGGAAGAGAAGAAAGTGGTGTAGGTGGGTGGGGTGTGGTGATGTGTGAGTAACTGGAGAGATAGACTTGAATTTCCCAGAAGGAGACAAAATGATGCCAGTGCAGTAATAGAGGCTTACGACTGTCATGCAAACTGTAAGGAGGCACTTTGATTTTTGGTTTTCACTGGCAAAGGCAAATTCATGTTTTTATTTTACATCACAGTTTTTTCTCACTCCTAGCTTATTGAAATAAACAAATAAATTATGCTGAAAGCACTAAACTTTGAAGCCATACTACATTTGTCTTTGTAGAAAGAAGAGGAGATATTTTATGGTTAAAAAAATTGATCTACATACAATGTGGTTTTGCAGAACTCAAAAGTAATGCTTCGATGGTTGGCCACTTGGGAGCCATATTTTCTTTTTTATTGTGTAGCAAATCAAAAATAATACCTTTAGACTTCTAAGGATTATGCATGAAGAGCAGCTCAGAAAGAACAGGAGCAAAGCTGAAATAATAACTGCACTGTCCTTTTTTACTCCAGTCCATATGGAGTTAGTGGCCTGTCTTCTCTCGCTCCGTCTCTGTCTCCCTGTTGATTATGACAGACCCTCAGGGCTGGAGGTCACTAGAGATTGTTTTTTTTTGGTTCAGAACTCATGTCAGTTACAGTAAGTGATTATATGAATAACTCCTGGAGAGCAGAAGAGATGAGCTGAATAAAATGGAGAGAAAATCTTTGCCCATCACCACATGAGAATTTGCCTTGTGAGCATGCTGTACATCTGCACATCTGTACATCTGTTGTATGTCACGTGTATCATCTGCACTGCACTTCATTACTGCTCATTCTGCGCTGGTCTTGTTCTTTTGCACAGTGCTGTTTGTTACGGTAGTTCTGCATCACATACTTTATTTATGACTGTGCATCAGTGTTGAACTGTAAGCTACCTCATCTGTGAATTACTGTCATTATAGCACTGCAACAGTAACTGTAACTGTGACTTTAACAGTAACAGTAATGGTAACTTCAATTCTTTTCCAAATGAAAGTCTTCTTTGTAGTTTGTATATATATATTTATATTGTTTAGTGATAGTTATATTGTATAGTATAGTATTGCAAGCTGTGTTCCTCATTCTGTTCTGCTAGTTTGACCTTATGTGTATTCTATGTTTGTCTTGTATATATGCTACTGGGGAAAAAAAATGCTGAATGCTTGTTTTCTCTCGGTCCTCTGTTTGTAGATTACTCTCTGATGAAGATTCCTCAGAACTACAACCTGCCCAGCTACAGGTTCCCCACTCAGGGCAAAAACTACATCTCAGTACCAGGAGAGGCCTTCACTATGCAAAGTGAGTCCACACAGTCATGCACAGACCAACAAACAAAATTATCCACTCTCTCACTCACTTTGTCACTTTGTCTCATTTAAACACACATGCACACACTCACATGCACACAAACAAAATAAATATCTTTTCCTCTCATCTTGTCACTCATTCAAGCGTACAGACACACAAAATAGTGAGTGTCTCACTTTGTCACACTCACACAGACACACACAGGCATGAGGCATATTTTCATAAGAGCACTAAGTGTGAGTGTGATTAGCTCAGCTGAGGTGAAGCAGGGGGCTGGAATGTACCACTGTAACCAACCCTGATTACATCTGCTGATCAAACGCCTCTGAGATTTTAACTCACACTGTTCTTCGCTCTTACTGGTTGGCAGTTTTCTTCATATAATTCTTCTGTTAAAATCTTAAAAAAATAATCACTTAATGAAATGGTGTTACTAACTTCTCAAAATTGTTTTAGCTCTCATCTCCTGCTTCAGTCCACTGCTACTGCCACAATCCCACTACCATCTTATGAACTAAGCAAACAATTCGGCCTGTCCCAATAACAAGTGGGTAGCCTGATTTTCAATTAATGATTTGTATGTAACTTTCCCCAAAATGCCTGCACGAGTCTAGCACAACACAGATGCTCAGCTTAACACTTGATATGTAAAGAGCAAAGCTTAAAGTAAGAGAACTAAATTTTAACTAAATTTAAAACTAAACTATATTGTATTTAGTTTGTCTAGCAAACTACCTTTTTGGAGAGGAGATGTCATGAATAGGAAAATACGATGCACATCAATCACATTTTATTGTTACTCTGATTAAACAAATCAATGATAAGCGCTTACCATTCAGAAATTTGCTCTGAATGAGTGCTTGCGCATTCGCTTGGGAAGAAATCACAGTGCATCCGCATATAAACGGAGCCTTGTGCATCTTTTAAACAGTGATAGAAAACATGGTAGCACATAAAAAGATTCAACATGCCGATATGATTATGCATGTGCTGTAACTCCTCTGGCAGCTGATTTAAATTAGTTTAAGGGGTTGTTGCTAAATTCTCAGAATGAATATCCGATGAAGGATCACTGTTCAAAAGGTTAGTCTACCCATCGGCATCAGTGTACAGAAACAAAGCAGGAGTGGAATGTAGGCAGGAGAAAAATAAAGAAACTGTTGCTGTGTTATGAATGGTCCACTAATCATCATTCCCTTCCCTGGAAAATCAAGAGCATTATATAAATATTATATATCTACACAAAATTCAAGATTCAGGTAAATAGCTTGATATGCTAAAATTATACACGTTAGCTCATTAATCTGTTACAGTAGACACGATTTCTCTGCATAGCTAGCTAACAAAAGTGCAACTGGCAAAAACAGATGATTTACTCTGTGAAATTCTTAATCATGTTTTGAAGCAGTGCATGCAAAGTTTCAGAAAGCAAACAAAAAGATCTCTAGTATCCGTTTGAAAGCTTCTTACATAACAACATTGTGATCCCTCAGCAGTCTAATAGTACTCAAAGGATAAAGACAGGCGCTAGATCCCGCAGAACACAGTTATAAGGTCACCAGCCTCATCAAATAGCTGAGAGTGCACTGGATATTCTCCACTATGTTTTTGGACCATTACAAAATGGCAGTCTCCCAAAATAGTGCACTGTGTTGTTGCTGTCATATCAAAACGTTTTAAGTGCATTCTATTTTTATTTTTTGAAAATGCCAGCTGCCTTCATATTGTTTGCACAAGTTGTGATGAATGGCCAACAGAAATGGTCCAAAATTGGTGCAGTTACATTAACTTATATTAACGTTAAGATCATTTTTCCTTCTCCTATAAAGTTACAATTTTTGGTAGAACAGCGACGATATAATGAACAGGGCATAGTTTCGAACCTAGCCTGTGTCTGAGAGTTGATTTCTCAGAAAGTGAAGTGTTTGCTGTAATTTGGTGTGAGGAGGAGTAGTGCGTTAAAGTGGTGGAGGGGGTCATTAGTGGCGATGTGAAACCTGCTGTTTGTTTGACTCCTTTTTGGGGTCGGATCCTCTGGCTTGGCGCCGAACTTCAGCTACGCTTCCTCCAAGCCCAGCGCTTTAATCAGCCATTAAAACGCCATTATCAAGAACAGCGCATAAACCTCATCGCTGGCATTGGCGCACTGCTGGGGTGTTTCGGACACACAGAGCAGTTCATTAAAAGAACCCAGTGCAGGGTTTATAAGCCATTTAAAGACACGGAAAGTGGGAACACGTTGGACTGGGTTGTATTTCCGCCCGGCCAAGTTTCTCGCTGTAACATTAATGTGAAAGGTGTGGTGTATGTGTGTTTTTATCTCTTGTTTTGTGAGCTTACTGGTCCAGAGCTCACTTGGAGAGTTAATTACAAGACGTTTGGATTCAGGGGTCTGTAGAGAGGTCATTATGGTAGAGGGCTGATTTCATACAGCTGACAATATACAGTTTTAAACTTTGGTCATTTCTGCCTACTTTACAGCCGCATATCATTATGCTTTAATGTGTTTTGGCATTAATTTTGATTAGTGGAATTTTGATCAGATTTTGGGAAATCTATACAAATTAATGTTGTCAGCCGAGAAAAGTTTGTAAAGTGTGTGTTTTAGCTATGAAGCTAATGTAGCCAGCAGGTAATAGTCAACTTGAAGGCAAAATTTTTCACCTTGTTCATTCATATCCTTGGTCATATTGAGCTTGATTCATCAGTTCATAGCATTTAAAAGACATATTTCCCCATAATCTTCTATAATGACTTTTGCCTACTTCAAAATTTTTTTCTGAGTTTTAATTACATGTCTGTGCACCAGTCAGAGGAAAATAATTTTAACAACAATAACCCCTATCATGAAGAGAAAACACTCAACTAGCTTAGAGAATCTCCCCTTAATGTTTCATTCTGGAATATATCAAAGAAAAGTGTGTTATGATCTTCAGTTCACTTTGACTTTGAAGGCAAAAAATCTAATTTGCACAGTTTTCCGCTTACTCCAGATGTAGTCAATCAGCCAAGACATGTTTGGTCCAAATCTGCTCGTTTGATTTAGCAATACAGCTCCAGGGATACGATTTGAGTGTGTTGGGAGAGGTTTTGGGGGTGTTTTTGCAGAAAAGATTAGCATCTTCTTCTAGTGTTTGTTAGCAACGTTAGCCTTGTAGCTCTAGTGTAAAACTAAAGAAGCAAAGTTGGGGCACCAAACATGTCTTGGCTGATCGACTATATCTGGGGTAAACGCAAAACTGTGAAAATTAGATTTTTTGCCAAAGTGTTCTTTTAATAGCCATCAATTAGCATGATTCAAACTGCATACTATTTATATGAACGGACACAAGTACAGCAGCATAGTTAAACTCACAGCCACCTTGATGCCTGCATTTTGTATTTGTGATCTGTTTGAAACATGTTTTCTGTTGACTTTCAGTCATGATTATTCAGGTTAGGTTCAGTGTAAACCGTGATGTTTTTGAACTCCAGATGGCTTTGACTTAGCATGCCAGTGTGTCAGTGTTTCTGTCCTTTCTAAGAGGAGCTGTAGGGCAGGGTAAGTCCTCCTCACACACATGTGTGTAGCAGGTGTGTGTGAGAGCACTGCTGCTCTATTAGACTCACAGTGAGAGGAGCGAGTGAAGTGACTGTGATAATGAATAAAGCCTCACTGCGCATTTCAGCAGCCTGCTGACACTTTCTCAAAGAACACACTTAGACTTATGTACACCTACACACATAGACACACACACACACTGGGGAGGGTGAAGGAGCAGTTGCACTAGGTCTTGTGGGGCAGGAGAGCCCCGCAGCGACCAGGCTCCAAGAAATTTCTTATAGATACTGACGCAGTTGTGCACCTACAACTCACAGTATGATCCAATTTCTTAGCAGCATGCCACACCAGTTCACTTCATCAACACTACACAAACAGAACTGATGTCTGTTTATCTCCTTCTTATTCATAATGCGGCTCATCAATGGTAACCATTTTAAAGCAAATCCTTCACAACCTGAAATAATATTTTTATTATTTATAATTTTACAATCTTACATTTTAAAATTGTAAGAAATTTTAAGTCTAATGCAAACATTTAGGTTGACATTAGATGTTAGTGGGTAAAGTGGTATAATTGAGGTATAATACAAATAAACAAGGAAATTACATTGTCATTTTTTTATTCTTTCAAAGTAATTTTCGTATAGGGAATCATTCTTTTTTTTGTCCTAGGGCTGATAAGATCCTACACCACTGTACACACATGTGCATACAATAGACACACTTAGACATAGACTATACATAAACAGTCACTCACATACACAAACACACAATGAGAATTTCCTGAGAATTTCCTGTCAACTTGCTGGGATTGTTACTCAAAACGCTTTACCTTTTACCAACATACTGAGCTGCCATGAGTATCAAAGGGGAATTTCACCAGTTTTTCAGAATTTCTGCATAATTCAATGGCTGAGATGTAAACAAAGTCATTTAGAGTGGTTTGATGTGAAATTGTTCTTTGTGAAGAAATTTACGGACTCAAATTTCTTTACAGTGGTGGTGATAGGAACCAGGTGTTGTGCTGTCTACAAAGCAAAAATAGCCATTTTATTTACTATCCAAAGCCATGGCTGAATCTGCATTTGTCTTGCATTTTTCATATGTTGATAATGGTTAAAAAAGAAGTTGTTTTTTTGTCGGGGGGGGCTTTATTTGTCTTACAGCTGAGAGTACCTCTCTGCCATGAGCAGTTTTTAAAAATGATGTTTTAGGTCAAAACCTAATTTCAGAAAATAGGAAATCTGGACAATAGTCTCTCAGATGTCGGACAGCGTATGCGTAATCCTTTCATGTGAAAACTTTCTGTGAGGGAGCTTTAGAGACATTTAACTCTTCAGATGTGTGGTTCCTATTACCACTGGTGACTCGGTTAGTTTCTCTAGAACAGAGCATTTCACATCAAAGCTCTTGTATATTAACCATTTCATTAACCATGGTATTTCCTTTTATTATTAGTAAGGAACAATCATAATGTTGCAGTAATACGTGTAGTGTTTCAGTCACTGATACATTTGTATTTGTGTCTTTATTCTCCAGGCCAGACCACCATTGTGGGCCTTTTCTACCACAATATGCACAACTACTACAAACAGATCAGCCCTCTGCGAACCAGGTAAACTACAATTTCTCACACATACTTTATGGGGGTCTTGTCCTCCTGAATGTGAGCCTCTGCCTGTCCTTCTCTGACTTTGTGTATATGTGTGAGTTTTTGTGTGTGCGTCTCTGCGGTGTGTATGTGTGTGTGTTTCCTGTGGTGATACAGCAGTACATAACATTCCTGTGAGCACGTCGTTATCATTCAGTCTCTTTCTCATCGGACCACTTAGTCTTCTGTGTGATACTCCCTGCCATTAGCTGCTCTGATAACACTCTTTTCCCATCTCCCTCTCTCACACACACGCATACAGTTTTCCCATGCCGCACACATAATCGGCTGAGTTACTAGCTTCAGCAATTTATTTTGCGTCTATCAGCTGAGACAGACAGCAGCTGCTGGCTGGCCTTGCACTCAAAACTAACAGTGGCAGCCCTGCTAATCTAGTCTAGAAAAGCCCAGGGATATTTTAGTACCCATTCACACATCCACTGATAAGAACACACATAAATTATGGGATGTAGAGCAGGGCTCACCAACCCTCCTCGTGGAGATCTTCTTTCTTGAAGAGTTAAGTTCTCATCTGCACCTAACATGCTGCCCTTCCCCTTACCTAACACTAATACATCTGATCCAGCCAGTCAGGGACTTCTGAAGTTATTTAGCTAAAGTAGGGGTAGCACATTGTAGTTGGAACTAGTCTCAGCAGGAAGGTAAATCTCTAGGACCAGGGTTGGTGACCACTAGAGAACATATCTGAGATATGACAGATCACAGTCTTACAGTACTTTTTTGGTGGCATATTGTCATTTTTGAAACAAAACCTTGTATCTCCAAAAAACATTTTTACAGGGGACGGAAAACATGTTCATAAATTTCAGAGCAAGTTAATGTTACAGTGTTTTATTATAAGTGTTTTTGGACTATTTCCATTGGTTTATTCATTGTTAAAGTTTGATACAGCTGGCATGTAAAAAATGATAAAAAAAAACCAACAAAAATATGTTATATGATGATATATTTACTGAAGCAACTAAATAGCCTACATATGAAGGTTGGAATATTCCTTAAATCTTTTAACACTGAAGCAAAAACATTTCTATTTCTGCTGTTTAATCTGCACTTAATCACATGAGCTTTCAGTGCTGTTGTTTGCATTTATTTGATATGTAAAAAAGAAACATTTTTATTTAGTTTGTGCTCTGAATGAGCTTGTGCATGTTCACTCTGAAAAAATCACAGCACATCCAGCAATAAAGAAAGCCTTGTGCATCTTTTATACAAAGATAGAAAACATGGTAGCTACACTTCTGCATGCTGAAAAGTTTCACCCTGGCCAGTGGAGACAAGCACATGTCTGTAATTCCCTTGGCAGCAGATTTAAACATGTTAAAAGGCCTGTCACCAAAATCTCAGAATAGGCACTTACTTCAGTAAGATTAATATTTCAGCTCTTTTATTTATGTGTTTCTTTGTACAACTTAACTCAGCTCAAAGAAGTTTTGCTGGCATGAGCACATTAATCATCAAAATATTCAGTAGATATGTCAATTACTAATATAACTGGTAGTGACAGCACTAATCCCCACTCACTACTAATGAGTAGCAGGTTTTTCTGTGTTACTGAACTGACTACTGATCTTCATCTTGATCCAGGATCAATGAGGCAGTGGACTTTAAGGACTGCAAGATCCAGGTGGCCAGTTACCTGATCTCTCTGAAGGTGGAGCCCTCTCCCGCCCTGTCGGTCAACCTGTCCGCAGAACCACTCATCAGAATTGTGCTCACACACCAGCTGGTAGGAGAGTAGTCCTTTTTCAGTCGCTTAGTAACAAATAACATGTGTTGACCAGAGGCCAGTGGGCTTAGCTATGACAGTTTATTTCGTGGCAGTCGTAGAGTTTGCGTATACCATATCATACCCTAGCACTGCGTCAAAGTGGAAAAATATGAGTCATATGCCCATTAAAGCTGATTTAGCATTGTTTTTCCCACACTTATACTAAATCAATAACAGGGGCACTCATGGGTGCCCTGCACTGATGTATAAAGGGCAAGTGATGCTGCAGATAAAACAGTTGGCCCTTGATACTTTGTTAACAAAAAAGCAAAATTCTCTGCTGGACAATAGCATGAAATAACTGATCCAGCGAAGAAGGAGGAAGACAGTAAATCTACTGTTGAACAATTCCAGGCCTGTACATCAGTTACATTACCTGACAGGCACTGTATATTGTTAACATTAACCGGTGATAGTAGCAAAGCTTAAAACAGTGGCCATAGATTTCCCCTAACAAAGAGAAAATTTTCAGTGTTGTATTCTAAAGGCTCATTTATGCTCAGCGTTAAATACAGATACAGATACGGACGGAACCTTTTGTCCATGCTCTGTGTTCATTTGGTCCATATTGTGCACGTTCTCTGAAAGCGGATTTGTACGAAATGGAGCACTACCACCAGAAGCTGTAGGGGGCAGTTTGGCCAAAAGTTTACATGCGACACAATGTCATTTTCTCTCATTGATAATATAAGTAAAGGTATTTAATAGCCTCACAGATCACCACGGGCTACAGTTATGCCTCTTTCATCTCTTTTGTAGTAGGTACATTATTACAAACTCCTCCACTGGCGCTATGTTTGTTGTCTTTTGACTCTGGACTGGCCTCTAGTGGGTGTATTGCTCAGCATCCATGCCACCATAAAGGATGCATGGACGTATGTGGGCAGTGACAGTTACATCGTTTGAAACGAATGTATGCTTAAACGAGCGTTAACACGTTCAAAATGTGACTCTCAAATAGAGCTGCCACATTTCAGCTGTGTCAAAACCGGATCGCACTTGTTGAGGCTTTATGCATATGTAAGGTGTGTTTTGATTTGATATTTTTCTTCATACTTGAAGACATAAATAATACAGGTTAGACTCATTAAGTGCTGTACAAATACACTATCCAGTCTACTGTTTGTTCTGCCGTTGTGTAACACAAATAAAACCATGAAAAACAGAATAATGTTTAGTCTGCAAACCCCACAGTCTAACTTTTCCTATGTGCACACGCAGGCTGTGTCTCAGTCCGAATACAACTGTACAAGAAAGTATGTTTAAAATAGCAATGTCACCATTGGTGGTGTAGTAATTTGACATGCTATATACTACAGTATATGTGGTTTGAGACACAGCCGCAGAACACACCCACCCCCAGCTGAAAATCCCTGCTCTGCGAGGCAGGACTAGAACGGCACTTTGTCCAGTTTAATTGAAGGAATGCATTTAGAGTGGACATTTTAACCTGAACACTGGACACAGTCAGACTGTTCAGTCCAAAACTGCACACCTGGCAACTCTGCTCTTACATACACCTACTCCGCTGCACACTAGGTTTTAAGCTAGGTAAGTTGGGCATGACCGGTTTAGTGTGAATGTTGGGAAGTCTTTGTGTTTGCATCATCATTTGATGGCTGGCCCATATTGATTAGGTCACGTTTAAATTTGAAATGATCAGGAAGCTTAAAACAAGCCTTAATTGATTCCTTCACTGAAAAAAGTGGTGCTTTGAATTTATGCAATTCATATGTGTCTATCAATTACACATGAATAAAAAAATTTACAACTACGCAGTTGCTGTCTTTCAGTTTATTTTGGCAGGAATTGTGTTGAGGTAATATTTTTTATTGACACATTTGAATGCCAATTCAAAGCACCATTTTGTTCAATGCTGATAACAAGCATTAGCACAACTGTGAGCCCCATCACCTCAGAACACAAATAAAACCCACAAACAGAGATTTTTTTCCAACCATTTGTGTGCAGAAACCAACTCGTCCAACCCAACTTGTGTACATTTCCTGATTTTACGTTTCACCTCTCAGAACTCTTTCTTACCTCAGTCGTTTTTCTGTGCCACTGTGTCGTATTGAGTTAAAAGCAGCCCGCTGCCCAAGTACATGGGTTCACACGGGTGCACTCATGTCTGCACTAACCATGGCCATCTATTTCAGTTTACATCATCCTCTGTACATGCCCTTATTTTAAAACACTGAAACAAAACATGTGGTTTGCCAAAAGAAAAGCAATTATGGATACTGGAGCTCCTGGCTTTGGGGTCCTCTGAAAGGGAACGGTTCTTTAACGAGGAGCATATTTCACTGTGCGGATCGTGGCACAGATTTGACTTGAAGGGCAGGTCCATTTGCCAGTTTTCCATGGGAAGTGCATCTTAAAATCTAAAAATTGACCTGGAAGCCAGCAAGCCAAGCTAACTAATAAAATATGTAGAACAAGAGAGAGGGAGAGAGATGGGCGTTCACCATGGGCATTCAGCTCTTCACTTACTGTAAGTAACACACCGAGTTACACTTTCAATTCATCATTTAACCAACATCTGACAGGTTTGGGTGTGCTGAAACATTACATAAGGCCTTTCTAACATCAGCACACATTTAACTTTGCTCTCCTTCCATCAACAAGCACAAAAAACAGTCCAGCTGTCCAAGTCAGAGAATAGGATCTGTTCCACAACAATAACACAGAAACCAGAAACCATTTGTGTATAGGCCTGTTGGCTTGATGGAGCAATCTGGGGGCAATCAGACCCTTACAGAAAATGTATTGACCACTACAAGTGCCCTACCAATGGCTCCAATGACACAGGTAGTTGCTAGGTTACTAGGTAGACTGTGGGTCCTCCACAGGGTTGGGCGTAACCTGCTGATTCCTTTTTGGAATCGAGAGAAAATGTTCCTTTAATATGTTACACATTCTGATTTTACCTTTCGATTCTCTGCATGTTTAGTTTAAAATTTCTGCATCACTGTTTTCACGAATGAAGACCATTGCAGTAATATTTTGTGCATGCTTCTTGTGGCATGATGCATGACAAGCAGAAGTAATTGTAACGGTGATCACAGAAGGTAGACGCTCGCGGATAAAGGAGTACAACTAAGCTTTAATGTTAAAATTGGAATCCAAACTCGTAGTCAAAAAGCAGGCAAAAGTGTCAAGGCACAAAAACAGAGAACCAAAGCAAACAATCCAGAGGGGTAAACCAGAAATCAGAGTCGGGGAAACGAGAATACAAGTCATACATGGAAAATAACACAATAGAAAGAACGCTCAGTAGTTCACGAATGAAGCAATACCTCGCAACTAACTATTGCTAAAGCCCGGGCTTATAAGCTACTCTGAAGTAGTCATGTGACAAAACATACAGGTGTTACACATTAAAACTCAGGCGACCGTGAACGCTGATAGGAGCGAGTGTGGAGATCAGCAGTCAGCTGATCTCGCTCTTCACTCTGGGAGATGTAGTCCATGTGTGGGATGGAGTCTGTAGGCAGTGAGGAGGTCATGTGATCTCCCAGAGGAGATCACATAGCCTCGTTGGTGGTATTCGTGACAGTAATAGACTTGCAAGGTGAGTTAACTAAATAAAAAAACAAGTAAGTAAACTGTGAAAAGGTAATCAAGTGATTAAAAAGGTGTGTAAATACTGTGTCAGACGTAAAGAGCGAGTAATCACATGCATTTATGAGTTTCCCCATCAATACGTCCCTAGTGATATCTATAAAAAAGACAAAATCCAGGCTTTACAATGTCTGCTACTCTCTTAAAAAAGATGCTTCTTCATAGGTTCTTTAGTTAAGACAGTGGTTCTATATAAAACCATGAGCACACAAAGAACCATTTGCCTGCTTAATAGGTTCTTTGCATGGCGAAACGTTTCTTCAGATTGGAGAATGTGGTGTATAAGGTTCTATACAGAATCTAAAAGGGTTCTTCTATTGTTATGATGTCAAGCTTGTAACAATAGAAGAACCATTTTCAAAAATACATATACAGCACATTCTCTATTAACCTGAAGAACCATTTCACCATGCAAAGAATCCTTTAAGCATGCAAATGATTCATTGAGTGTTCATATTTCTGTATATAACCCCTGTCTTTACTGGAGAAGAAGAACCATCTGTTTTGAGAGTCTTACTACTGTTTTTAGCTAACTAATGCATTTTTATCTATTTTTGTAAATAACAGTATGTAATATAGTATACAGCTCAATGTGGTTAGTGGTCGGTGTGCTATAATTTAGCCCTTCTGTTGTCTTAAAATTTACTAACATATTTTACCCTTAGGGTCAGTTTGACCCCAGCAATTTAAACCTTTAGAATATAATTATAATTAAAGTTGTTACTCAGGTTTATGTGTCAGATACTATGTTTCTTTGCAAAAAATGATGTCAGTCATCATTTAGAGATGTTTAAGCTCGAATGGAGTCAAATTGACCCCAAATATAATAGGAGGGTTGGGCATGCAGTTTGCATGATGCTACATCAGCCTTGTAGCCTCAGTGCAAATCTAAAGAAGTGAACTTCAGAAACTAAACATGTCTTGGCTGATTGACTTTGAGGGAGGAGGAAGGCTGATTTATCACAGATTGTCGCTTTAAGGTCTCTCTAGTGCTTTTTCTTTATTGTACTCTCAGCATCTATGACTTTCAAACAGAGCTATGCCACAATGCACGTAACCAGAGACCTTCTTTTGTTTCGCCTGCCGGCACGCTGTGAGCACTATTTGCTTGAAAGTTACATGGCACTCTGCCAATGATATGATTGCATTGTTTGTTTGAACAGATACCACTTTGATTGTGTGTGTGTGTGTATGTGTGTGTGTGTGTGTGTAGAATGTAGTCTCCAGCGTGAGGCAGGGAGCCAGCCCAATAATATATCCAATAAAAACTAAAAGATGCAAGCCAAAACAGTTTCACAAGACTTTGATATTGGATTGAGAGAGACTGTTGTCAG